TCTTCTTTACTGAAAACAATAAAAACTATTTCTCGCCTGTACTATGCTTACACGTTGTTATCATAGATGTAATGAACGTGTGTGAAACACTATGATTGTTGATTTCAGAAACAAGACAAACTCACGTCGATAAATAAGGACCTCCAGGTAAAATTAGAAACAGTCGCGGAAGAGAAACAAAATTTGACTAATCTGTTCGTAGAAAAAGACGAGAAAATCTGTAAGCTACAAGAGGAGATCGTTGCGTGCAAGTAAATATTTTTACACATACATTCAGTATTCTTAATTACATTGATTAAATACACGTGCATATTGTGGCAGAAATAAAGTGCAGGATTTAGTACATCAGAACACAGAATTAAGTTTGAAATATGAAGAATCAGTTCATAAGGAAGAAGAATTGAAAACGCAAATGGAGTCAAAAATGCAGGAAGTATAATCATACACTTTATATAATTACTTCATATATTTTTGTACATATAAACAATTAATTTTATTTCTTTGATAGTTTGACAAACTACGAGAAAATTTAGAGGCAAGACAGAATATAGAAACAAGTTTAGCTCAAGATCTTGATATAATAGATAATAAATACAGGAACGTGATAGATGATTTATCTAATATAAAAAATCAATTAAACGAAACCCAGATTCGTAATTTAGATCTTGAAAGATCCTTGGAAGACATGAAACATAATAATCAGCAGAAAATAATGAAACTGAATAAAACGATTAAGGATTTAGAGGAAGAAAAAGAAAAAATATTGTCAGAGAAACATTCAAAAGTTCAGGTATAACATTAAACATTTGATGTACAAAAACTTTGCGTAAATTTACAGATGATAATATTGTTTTTATTTCTTTATACAGGAATTAGAAAACGTTTGTGAATTATTAAAACAAAAGCATGAAAAAGAGATAATATCTTTAAGAAATGAGTTTAATATCAAACTTGCAGACATGAAGAAATCCATAGACACACAAAATACTGCTTTCACAAAATTAAACGAAACGTTGAATAAAATGAACGAAGCAAGTCAGATTATAGAAAAATATAATGCAAAAGAGAATTCTGATAAATTGCAAAAGAAATCAAAATGGAAGCCACAACCAATTGTAGAAGTAAGTCAAATGAAATTGACTCAGAACAGCGAAATGAAAGAGCAAGAATTTCAAGAAAATATTTTGTCACAAAAATTATCTAAAAATAAAAATGAAATATCCACTCAGAAAGAACAAGATATATATGATTTTAATACTACAAACGTCAATGATAAGTTGCAAAATGTAAGTTAATTATAACAAAATAATTTTTATAAACCATTAACTTTTTAAGTGAATCATATTTTTAAAAGAAACAAAATAACACTGTTTTCATAGGTTTTCGACTCTACTGAAAATTACTCTTACCTTTCTCAAAGTAAGAATGCAACACAATTACATATAATATCACAGGAAAATAATGATAAAACAAAGAAGGTACTATATTTAGACAATTTTTATTCCAATTTTTGTACATTGCTTGTATATTTAAATGTATAATTGAAATGTCTTTTTATAAATAGGATCAAATTAATTCTCCACAAAAGAAAAAAATATTTAAAACGCGCAGTACAGGATTAAAACAATATGGAACTCCACGAAGAATATTTAAAAAATAAAATCTCTTGTATAGTGCTCAAATTAATTTAAATTTTTAAACGAAAAATATAGTTTTCGTTTCAATTTCAAAAGACCTTTTCTTCATAGCAGCTTATCATGTAATTCTTTAATCTATTTATATTACTTAATATTTATGAGTACATAATCCTTAAATTATATTCATGTACAATTAAAAAGAAGAGGTTACAAGCAAGCGTTTTAATTTCAAGATCTTGGTGTTTGGTTAAAAATACATGTACCAATACATAAAGACCTATTTAATAAAAAATAAATATGTTATAATTAATTAAAGATGTATTAATAAGATCTGCTTAACGCTTGACAAAAAAATATGTATTATTTTTACCCTCCATTAAATATATGGAAAACTATATTACATGCTACGTATAGAATATTGAGCTGTCCACTAATGTCTAGATTATTGCATTTAAATGGTAAATTTATCTTATTTATCACTCATACTTACGTTTTGTTTTAATTTATTTAATTATTTACTGAAACTAGAAGAACAATCCCATTTCATAGATCTTTCCACGGCCATTTTCCATTTTGAATATCTCAAGTCTCTTTCTGAAATGTAAACATATAATATTTATAAATTATTTATCTATACCATACTGCTTATAAAAATATTACCATATTCTTTAATAGTGGGCGAAAACTTTGTAATTTGCGATGCGTCTACATCGTTAATATCAATAACGTCTACTCCAACACCGGCTAATATAGCAGCTCCTAATGATGTTGTTTCTACCATATTAGGCCTTTCTATTTAAATCATTAAGGTCGTATCGATATATATTAAATTTCAATAGAAATTTATTATCAAAAGTTTAACGTTAATTAATGAACATATATACGTACCGACGCATATTCCAGTTAAATCAGCTTGTAATTGCATAAGTAAATTATTTACCGTCATTCCACCGTCAACCTGTAACGTTGTCAATTTTGTTCCTGAATCTTTTACCATTGCTTCTAAAATATCTCTTGTTTGAAAGCAAACGGCTTCTAAAGATGCTCGAACGATATGGTATTGTTGTGTATCTTCAGAGATACCACAGATTACCCTAAAAAATATACACAATTATGATTTGTAATATTCGAATAATTATTTCGAGCGTTACTATGACAAGTTGTCTACCCCCGTGCATCTTGTTCCCAATATGGTGCATATAAACCAGAGAATGCGGGTACGAAATATACGTCTCCAGAACATCCTACATGTTCTGCCATCTCCTGACACTGTGCAAAATTACTGAATAATTGCATATTATCACGTAACCATGATAAAGCTGCTCCAGCTACAGCTACTGATCCTTCTAATGCATAAACTGCTGGGGATTTACCTATTTTATATGCAATAGTTGTTATAAGACCCTGAGTTGAATCTACTTTCTAAAAAAATGAAATATTTAATAAATGAACTAATTCTGGATTATGTACATATAACATATTAGCAAGTAAGTACATACAACACTTCCAGTGTTATACAGTAAGAAACAACCTGTTCCATAAGTAGCTTTTGCTTGTCCAGGCTTTAAACATAATTGACCAAGAAGAGCTCCTTGTTGATCACCTACACACTGTAAATGTAAAAAAAAGACATATGAATTTAGTTAGATATTAATTTTTAAGTACAATATTTCTCTAATAATTTACCCCTGCTATAGGTACACCAGCAAGCACTTCAGGATTTAAAACTGTCCCATATACTTCAGCACTAGATCGTATTTCAGGAAGAATATGTTGCGGAATTCCAAAAAATCGGCATAATAAAGGATCCCATTTTAATGTTTCTATATTCATTAACATAGTACGAGAAGCATTTGAAACATCTGTTATATGTAGTTGGCCTTTTGTGAGATTCTGTACAGAAAAATTATAATAAATCATAAATGGAAGAGGTTTAGAACAGATACATTAAAATTAACGGTAATACCCAAATAAGCCAGGTGTCAACTGTTCCAAAAGCACATCTTTCTTCATCTACTGCATGTTTAACTCGAGGTATATTGTCAATAAGCCAACGTATTTTAAGAGCACTAAAATATGGTGACATTGGAAGCCCACAAAGTGGTTTTAAATAATTTTTATTTCTTGATTTGTTAGGTACACTGTCTAATATATCTTCTAAAGTTGTAGTTGTTCTCATATCCAGCCATACTATAAAATTTCATTCTATATAAGCACATAAATGACATTATAATAATATGTAAATAATGGACAGTGTCTTACCAATTGCATTGTGCAATGGTTCTCCTGTATTTTTATCCCACACCAAAGTGGTTTCTCGTTGATTGGTAATCCCAATTGCTTTAATGTCTGATACACTTAAACCAATATCCTTTAATTTTTCTATCGTTTTCTTGATACATTCTCTGACAGATTGGATAATCTCTTTTGGATCTTGTTCTACCCATCCTTCTTGTGGGTACTTCTGCTTAATTTCAATCTGGTGTGAGGCTACTACTTTTTTATGCAATACATCAAATACCTAAAATAAATATAATACATTATGCTTTAGGTTTCAAAGTTTTTTATTAATACATTATTGTTTATATACAAAGTAACAATTACATTTATCAGGTTTACAAATGAAGAAGAAATACTGAAATAATATTAAAAATAAGATAAAAATGATTCATAAATTAATGATGAGAAAGTTATAGAAGATATCATAAAGTAATCATAGTGATCTACAGGAGTATGTTCTACGTGAGGTTCAAGTTCCATTTAGATATCTTGGTCAAAAAATATCAATTTTGGTGTGTGAATTTCTATAAAACAGAAAAAAATGTACTCACTAGAAACCTAGCGCTACTTGTTCCTTCGTCGATTGCACCTATAAATGGCCCGGGATGATTCAAGTTTTGAGACATAGTATATTTTTTTTGTTCCACTTAAAATTCAATGAAATCTTCAAAAACACATTTAGAGGTATTCGAACGATGATCTATACTTAATCTTTATCTTAACTTGTTACATAATTTATACAAAATATAAAACTCGTTCAGTGATAGTGATGTATATATTACAGATGAAATAAAAAGATATTAATTTACTTCCTGTTCAATATATCGTTTTTATTGATTACGTTAGAAATACATTCTTCATTAAACAATGTCGTATGGACTTTGGAATACAGGGAATAAAAATGAACTGTACAATTTTATGTTATAATTTGTTTCTTTGTTGTTTATAATAAAATTAACATTTCTTCCATATAAATATTATTTTTATAGTGCTTTTTTACATTATAAGGTTTGCAATGCAAATATTTCTACAGATCCTTCTATTCTAGTAATTTTCTGCGTTTTAGCCAGTATTTATCTCATTTCACTTTGCGTTACCGGTAAGGACGGACGTACGTTTGTGGGTGTAGTGAACAATTATTTGTTCGATGATAATTGAATTAGATTAAGTGTTCATCAGTGTCTAATACACGTGAATTTTGTAATGTTTCAGGCAAATAACTATTAAACTGGCTTCGTAATACACGTTTATTACTTGGCCGGATTTCTTTATTACGGTAGAGTAAGTATTATTTCATGGATATCTCGTGCCTGCTCCATGTGAATCCCTCTCCGTCTTCTTGTTCTTCTCACTCTGTGAGATATAACGGCATCAGACTTACATTGCAAATCTTCTATTTCGATTGAAAAATACAGGAACACTATTTTTGATCTCTGCAATGTGCATACATTCATTTTTAAAGAGGTTACCGATCTTATGACGTGTCAAGTGAATACTTCATTCCATATGGTGGTCACTGCCTCAACCACTTGGTGGTCATTGACATGCTGGCATTTAACTTGAACTGTTTTCCTATTTCCCACTTAATATCGCAATCGTTATGAACTTTTATAGGTGTTAAGCGTTTCAATCTATTTTAGTTAAATATACAATCATTAATCAAATATTTATGTAAAAAAAATGTATTAAGAAAGATTGTTCATAGATATGGGCACTATTAATTTTCATAAAAATTTCTTACTATTTTTTGGAATTTTTAATCTTTCTTTTTTTATGTTAACTACATTTTCTCAAACAATGTATTGTAACTGTTAAAATAATAAAATAAGGTATTTCATTTAAAATATAATATGCATATAAATATTGTAATTAAATTTTAGTATATAATTGATTATGTAAGTCTTCTTATTTTTAAATTAATTGTATAAAATATAAGCATTTCATATTTAAGAATTGCACCTGTCTTTAATGCTGGTCCGTATGTGTTAAATAATAATCCCCATTTGATTAATAATTTGTGTTATAGTGCTACTGTAAGGACTTGGCACGGAACAGGACAACCCCATCATGCAGCAGCAGTCAGTAATGGAAGAGGGAACGGCCTATGAGCCACCTACTTATGATGAGACATTCCCAGTTCTTCCTGAGTCAGCTAGTTCAAGTTCAGGAAAATTAAATATTTTCTCTGTAAATAATAATTTACAGCTTGGACGTATAACAATCACACAGGTATATATCATTTAAGTGAAATGTATATATACAATCTCTTGATAACATACTATTTTATTGCTTTCTTTTTTTTTTTTTTTAGATATTTCGCGTACCCGGCGAAGAACGCAAATTTGATCACAGTGATAAATTTGGGGAACGTGAATCCATACGTACATGTAAAACAATAATGAAAGAGACAAATACCAATATTGAAATAGCATCATCAAAAGATCAATCTCTTACATTCCTAATAACTGGCAAGCAAAACCAAGTATTGGAAGCTAAGCGCCGAATTTTAACAACATTTCAGACTCAGGTTAAATGTTATAGCTAGATTGAAGATGTTTTATTAATTAACTTTACGTTAATTAACAGTGAACGATCTAATAATAGAATTATCATTGTAGGCAAGTAAACAAATTAGCATTCCTAAGGACCATCATCGTTGGATTCTTGGAAAACAAGGACAGCGCCTCAAGGATCTAGAAAAAACAACTGCAACAAAAATAAATGTTCCATCTGTACAAGATCAGTCAGATATAATCACAATTACAGGAACAAAAGAAGGAATAGAAAAGGCTGAACATGAAATTAGGGTCATTTCAGATGAACAAGTAAGCAATACAATTTGTTAGTTAATTAATATCATAAAATGTAACATATACATTGAATTTTTATGTTATAGTCAAGAAAAGCATTTGAAAGAGTATCTGTGCCAAAAATATATCATCCTTTTATACATGGTGCACACAATGAGAATCTCAATGCTATGATGGCAGAAACTGGTGCTCGAATTAATATTCCTCCTGCTTCTGTGCAAGAAGATGAGATTACTATTGCAGGTGAAAAAGAAGGTGTCTTGGCAGCAAAGCAAAAAATTGAAGATATTTACAGAGATATGGTATGAAAGTTCGAACGGAAATTATATACAATTGTCATTCATTTCAGAATTAAAATAATGATTATGATTTAGGAAAAGAGATGTACAACAGTATCAGTTGAAGTTCCCAAATCTCAGCACAAATATGTTATTGGTCCTCGTGGTAGTACTATAGCAGAGATATTGCAAGTGACTGGTGTAAGTGTAGAAATGCCTGCACCAGATTCTCCTACCGGAACTATTACACTCCGTGGACCTCAAGAAAAGCTTGGTCAAGGTAATGTTTAGTCTGTATCTTTATAAACACTTCAACAAATATATCAACATCGTGTTAATAAATGTATTCAATAATACAGCATTGACTAAAGTGTATGAAAAAGCAAACAGTGTTCGTACGGCTGTTGTAAAAGCACCTGTGTGGATTCATAAGTATATAATAGGACGAAAAGGAGTGAACATTAAACGTATCACACAAGAAATGCCGAAAGTAAATGTAGAATTTACTGGAAAGGAAGACAAAATCAAGATTGAAGGTCCTCCTGAAGAAGTAGAGAAAGCACAAAATGAACTTCAATTAATGGCTAGTGATCTCATATCCAAGCTTACTTTTACAGAATTAAATGTTGATCCTCGATTTTATAAACATATTATTGGAAAAAATGGATGCAATGGTGAGTTACTTCGTATTATTTTAATTATTATATTAATTATTTACTAAGGTGTCATTATTATTTTTCTCTGAACAGTAAATCGTGTAAAAGAAGGTACAGGTGTTGTTATTAATATCTCGGAAAATGACGGTAGTAATATTATTCGTATTGAAGGAAACCACCCTGGTGTGCTTAAAGCTCAAACGGTTTGTATTGTTTCTTTAATTTATGTACAAGAAGTAATATGTAGTTCATATTTACTGACATTTAAATTTATTACAGGAATTAGTAGAAATGGTGAGAAAATTAGAAAATGAAAAAGAGAAAGATGTGATAATAGATCATCGTTATTATCCTAGTATTATCGGAAACAAGGGAGATAATATTAAAGAGATTAGAGATAAGTTTAACCAAGTACAGATTACTATTCCTGGTCCAGGTATGTAGCGTGATATATATTCAATAACTAGAACTCGGATTTATGCCAGGTACAAACATTCAAAAAGACCTCGGCCCTTGTTGGCGCTTATCCAACAGGGGCTCGATGTTAATTTTTAGAGTGCAGACAATATATATCATTTTGCATTGTTATACACTCTTTCTCTGTTAACTTTACAAAAATAGAATACAAAAAATTAACAAAAAATAATTACATAAAACTTTTAATTTTGGGGCATTTTATATGATATTTAAAAAATTTTTTGTTAATAGGTGAGAAAGAAGATATAGTAAAAATTAGAGGACCCAAGGAAGATGTAGATAAGTGCCATAAATATCTAATGAAATTAGTAAAAGAATTAAACGAAAATAATTATGTATTAGAAGTACCCATTTTCAAACAATTCCATAAATTTGTCATTGGAAAAGGCGGAGTAAATATTCGTAAGGTTGGTATCTACTGCTAAAAAGCCTAATTATATTTTATCTTAAATTAATTATAAATTAATTTTTAATTTAGATTAGGGAAGAAACACAAACTAAAATTGATTTACCTGCTGAAGGTGAGAAAAGTGATGTTATAACTATCACAGGAAAAAAGGAAAACGTAGAGAAAGCTAAAGAAATGATTCAAAAAATACAAAATGAATTGGTAATTTAGCTTTTTATTTGTATAGAAATAAAATAAATATGTAAAGTAGTTAATTACAATATCATTTATATTAGGCTAATATCGTTACCGATGAAATAGTAATTCCACCAAAGTTTTACAATTCACTTATTGGCACTGGCGGAAAATTGATTCATTCTATTATGGAAGATTGTGGCGGTGTTGCAATTAAATTTCCTACCGCAGAGAGCCGAAGCGATAAGGTAAAGAATTTAAACAATAGTAATAATTTACAATTTTTTAATTTGTTATTATGTGGTGTAAAATTATCAATATTTTGTACTTAGGTAACAATTAGAGGGCCTAAAGAGGATGTTGAAAAGGCAAAACAGCAATTACTTGAACTTACAAATGAAAAACAGTTATCTAGTTATTCGGCTGAAGTTCGTGCCAAAGTACAACATCACAAATTTCTCATTGGAAAAAATGGTGCCAATATTAAAAAGGTTTGTGCGTCAGTTATATTAATGAAGTTTTATATATGTTTGCGATATTTACCTATTTTTATTTCTTCTAGATAAGAGAATCCACGGGTGCACGTATTATATTCCCAACCGATGACGATCAAGATAAAGAAGTAATTACTATTATGGGAAAGAAGGAAGCTGTTGAAAAAGCTAAGGCTGAACTAGAAGCCACAATTAGTGAAATTGTAAGAGTTTCCATTACATTTAATTACTTCTGAATTTATGCGTGAAAATGGAATTATTTTTAATTATATAAATTTGTATTATAGGATAATATTACTGAAGGGGAAATTCATATTGATCCAAAGCATCACAGACATTTTGTAGCTCGCAGGGGTGGAGTACTGCATCGTATTGCAGATGAATGTGGGGGAGTGCAAATTTCATTCCCAAGAGCTGGTGTTGATAGTGATCGAGTCATTTTGAAAGGATCACACGAATGCATAGAAGCAGCGAAACAGCGAATGCGAGAAATTGTACAGGAACTGGTAAATTTTTTAAATAAATATCCTTTTGTTAATTCCACATTTCTCATAGAAATCAAAATTATATTACTTATATTTCTTAGGAATCTATGGTAACTGAAGAATGCGTAATACCCCAGAAACATCATCGTACAGTAATGGGAGCAAAAGGACGTAAAGTACAAATGATTACGTCCGAATATGATGTACAAATTAAATTCCCTGACAGAGATACGTATGGTTAGTACATGAAATTGCTTTTTGGATAAAATATTAATACACCTTCATGTTTATATTTATATTTCAGATGAACAACGTGTAGCGGAACAGATGAATGGTGAGAATGGGGAAGTTACGGATACTATCCCAGTCTGTGATATTATTCGCATCACTGGACAGCCAGAAAATGTAGCAGCTGCTAAACAAGCATTATTAGATCTTGTGCCGATTACGATAGAAGTTAGTTTCCTCATGAAACATTTTAAATAGTGTTAAATATCAAATAATTATATAAAATGTAATATATATTATAGGTAGAGGTACCGTTTGATCTACATCGTTCAATAATAGGTCAGAAAGGTCGTGATGTGCGGGAACTGATGAATACATATGATGTTCATATCATGCTGTCTCCAGCAGAAGAAAAACTTGATTATATCAAGGTATGTATGCCCAGTACCGAATATTGTCAAAATTAAGGTTTCGTAGTTCATTATTATTTAAAATCCAACAATAACAGTATGGCTTGTTTATTAGATTTCTGGAACTCCTTCATGTGTTGAGAATGCAAAGCAAGCTATTCTCGATAAATGTAAAGCATTGGAAGCTGAACGACAAGATAGAGCTTTAAAATCATTTGAATTGAAGGTAAGTTTAATTATTTTAGTAAATGCCATGTTCTATAGTATTAACTTGCTTTTTTTCTTAGATTAAAGTTGATCCAGAATATCATCCGAAAATAATTGGTCGAAAGGGAGCAGTAATTAATAAAATACGTAGTGATCATGATGTTCAAATTAATTTCCCTCGTAAAGGTGACCCTGAAGAACATATCATTACAATTACTGGTTATGAAAAAAATGCTTGTAGCGCACGAGATGATATTATGAAAATTGTCAATGAATTGGTAAGTTTATACATATTTCATATCTTAGAATTGGATAGTTTCTAATAAAATATTTCTTTTTAATATAGAATGGTTTGACAAAAGAAGAGGTGCATATAAATGCTGCTGTACATTCACGTTTAATCGGTTCGAAAGGTAGAAATATTCGTAAAATAATGGACGAATTTAAAGTGGATATCAAATTCCCAAGAAAAACTGATCCTGACCCTAATATTGTAACAATTGTGGGTACGGAGGAAAATGTAGCCGATGCGAAAGATCGTTTATTGAACTTGGAAGAAGAATATGTAAATATTGAATAGACTGCTGTTATCTACATTTTAATGCTTAAGTCTTGAAACATTCTATTATATAATATTATGAAATTTCAGATTCAAGATGTTTTAGAAAATGAATATCGTGAAAATTTACGCTCGCCTCAACGCGATGAAAGGAATTCTGGAAATTCCGGCTTTGTTGTGAAAGGAGGACCTTGGGAACAGCAACCACAAAGTGCTCCGAATACCGCCAGCGTTGAGGAATTTCCTCAATTTGCTGGGTATTCTCACGTACCTGTGACTAATCCTGACGGTCCATGGGGCGTAAAACGTTAATAATATCAATCCAGTAAAACTCACTGAAAAACTATAAGGTAACATTATATAACTTTCCTCTGACAAACGATACAAAAGGGTACACACATTAGTGCTAGGTGGTTCCCTGTTCCATTACTGATGTTGCTGCATACGACCTGGCCACTCTATTGGACTCTGATACTGGTTTACTACATAACGTTTGACGATGATGTTTATATTTGCAGTTCATATACTAAATAACCTATGTATCTGTAACTGTAACGCATGATATTTTAAGTTGATTGCCATGTTAGGAATATACACACATACAGTCAGACGCAAATTGCGAGTGGATTTCATTCATAAACAGAACGTCTGATTTCTTCATAACTTACTTTTACTGATATGCCTTTCAGGTACAGATATGTTGTACTTAAGACTGTGGCTTCGTAGGAACTAATTTTCTTGTGTATATTATATATTTTTCAGATTGTCTCTATCCGCATAGATTGTTCGGTTAAACATATTTCGTTTAACCGGATATAATGTTTTGTTAATTTATTTATATTTTTTGTATATAAATTGCATTTTTTTTTGTGTTGGACTTAAGTGAAATCGTTTTTTAACTATCATGATGATATTAGAGTCTGTATCAAACTTTTGTGGAACGTAAAGCTTTAAGGTCTTTCTAAGGAAAACGTTCTTAAACATGATTTCCTGTCTTTTGTTATGTAGGTAATGTAATATAATGAAATCGCTTTATACTTTTAAAATTACGGTACACTGAAAAAAAAGTGCAAGTATCTGCCAGTAAACTGAATGTAGTATATTATTAAATATTGAATTTAAGAAAAAATTAATGAACATTAAATATGCATTGGGGGATCATGATCTTTAGAAGGCCTTGCTATAATTCCACTGCTTTTATGCAGTCATCAAAGACGAGACACGAGATTATTGGGATTATTAAAAGAGAAAAGAAATCATGAATATCTATAATTTAAAAGCGATACGCCGTATTCTTTGAATAGCTAATTTTATTTATTCTTTCTGTTTTAATGTTTGCTGTATGATGTGCAAATTTTTGCATTCTACTATTTATGAGGCCAACTAGCTAAGAAAAGATATTCGGTTCAAGTGCCTTGTCTATTTTCTTCAAGACAGCTCATTTCAATTGTTGGAGGAATGTGAATATTAGTTTATATATAATTATATATAGTATATAAATATTGATAATAATTATTATATATATATAATCAATATGATAGGTATTGTACTACAAGGTACAATAATATACTACCATCATGAATAAAATAATAGATACTATCATGTATACAGAAATTCACCTATATTTTTTAGATTTACAGTAATTTTTATAAAACTACTTGGTATGACGACTTACGTGTCATCTCCAACGCATGGTGTATACGCATATGCCAGAATTAGCAATCTTAATATGCTTAGTTTTGGCTACAGATTTGATAGATGCTGTGCATGAATGTACCTTTTCTAATGAATTATAAATACAAAATAATTGTAATTATGAAATAATATTCTCTGTACACATGTCATGATATATGAATTCTATTGTAACAATATATATATATACACACATATACATATATATTATAATAATTAATCTATTGTTAAAAAGGTGTTATTTTTTCCTTCTATGGTTTGTAACCATATTTTTAAATAAGTTAATGACATTAATTACTTTGTCAATTTAATATATTTATTGGAAAATAGATGAGGATCGTAACATTTTTAATTGTTTTACAAATCCTTCGTTAGGTTTAATGTAATTTCTCAATTTTTTCACTTTGGCATAAGCATCACTGTAAGATAACTTTTCGGAAATTATTAAATAAGAAATAATAATTGCTGGTGAACGAGATACACCGGCATTGCAATGTACAAGAATATTTTCATGACGATTTTCGTGTATAATTTTATAACATCTTTTTACTGCTACAATTAGATCAGATTCAGGCAGATCTAATAAATCACAGTTATAATATTTAATCCCATTAAATTTTACCGTTACGTTAATACCGATACTTAAAATGTGATGAATATCATGTTCTTGTAAAATTTCTTTACTTACAACAGGATCTTGCGAACTCAGAAATAGTCCAGAAATTATTTGACTGATTTGAAAATCAGGCTTATTATCTACCACAAATGGTACTCCAGCTGGTAATTCTTTCTTTTCACCATCAATTTCTTCGTACCTTTGTCCAAGCATATTAGTTACAACAGTTTTACAAGATTTCAGATGTAACTTTTTATTTATAATTAAACTTTCTAAGCTCATTGTTATATAAACAATACTTGGCAGATTTAAGATATAATTGTAGAAATTAAAAAAGTTAATTCATTTATGTCTGTACACAATTTACTTCATTTTCATCTTCTGGAATGACTATAGATTGTCTATTAGGACACGTTTTGTATTTTATACAATATTTATCTACTTCATTTTGACAGTACTCTACATTTACAAGATATAAACCAAATCCTGGAACTGGGTGTATTTGAGTAAGCCAATTATGATGGCCAGGAACTTGTAACATTATAGTTATATCCTTTTCTGTTATTTTTCCAGTAGCTAGGGCAAGTAATGCTCCTACCATCCGTCTAACCTGTAACAAAAATTACATTTACATCAGATTTACTTATAGGAATATACATATATGAATACTTCAAAGTGAAAAATCAAATGACTGAAATTTAAATATATTCCTATATGTATATAAAAGAAGTATAATTATACTGATTTATAGATATTTGTCAAAAAAATTCCTCAGCAAAGAAAGCAATTATTCATTGGACTTCGACATATTTGTAGAGAGTTAATAACATTCAATTATTATTAAAGATAATATTGGTAAATGTACCTGTTTATATAAGAAAGAATGTGATGAGCATACAACATTCCAAAAGTCAAAATTTTGGGACAATGTATCATATGGCATAAGTGATTGACCCTCTTCTATAGTCAAAGAATTTAATGTCCTTATAAAATTGATTGGTCTATGAGATATTTTTTTTGCACTAAACGTTTGAAAATTTTTTGTTCCCATAAATAATTTGGTTCCTGCTTTTAATCTTTCTAAATCAAAAGTTTCTGACCTATTATGTATATGATACAAAAGATTATACAGTAATCAATAATATATTTTAAAAAGAATGTATCTTTGATGAACATAAATAATACCTTAAATGGTAACACTGTGATGCTTCTATAACAGGTATTCTCTGTTCATTCTTTTTTTTAGCTATCATAAATCTATACATGTATGTTCTAGACTGTACAAAATACCTAGCATGAAAATCTAGCTTCACAGGAACAAATTCTAGAAGTCTTAAAATGCAATGTTAAGTTATTAAATATTTATAAAGAATAAAAAGTATGTTAATAATAAATAACTAATTACCTAATATCATGATTACATTTTATCAGATATCGATTAATAGTTTTAAGTACATAGTCAGGATTATAGATAGCATCATATTTATTCTCTATGTCAATGTGAGCTGCATTACACAAAGCATGAACTCCAGTATCTGTTCTATAAATATCACATTTTACAATTATAATAAAAGTATAACTGCACCAATATTTGATGATACACCGTATATGTAAAATAAAACAAAAGCAGATCTATACAAACGTATTCACCTGCTAGAAGAATAGAACCTTGGCCTAACCATGCATTTTGGTATTAATGTTGAAAAAGCAGATTCTATAGTACCTTGAATAGTATCTGTATCATGTACCATAATGTGGTCATCTGTAACAACATTTTTCTGGAGTCCTCTAAAAATATATATATATATATATATATATATATATATCTATCTCACATATAATATTGTATTGACATTTTTTAAATTTATCTTTTTGCACTTTACAAAATATATTCAGAAATTGTTATCTTTAATAATAGTAAAGATTACAAGCTACAGTAGAATTAAAATAAAGTATATTTGTAATTATACCTGTACTGTTTTCCAAGGTATGAAAATCTAATGAAATATCTTTTCATTGCTTTAATTTATCAAAACGTACAAGGTCTATTTAACTTTTTAGTTATAAATTAAATTTGCACATCACTTTTACAAGCTGTAAGTTTATTTATATGGACCCAGTGACTATAAATACAAGAAGATTGGATAGGTTTTGAGAGGGGTATGATTTTGAGGATCCCAGACACCCCAGATGAGATTAGATCTGCATGCAGAGAGCACAGTATGATAATCGTGCCTATTTTACCGTATTTCAAAGTGACATCTGAAAAAACACAATCTTTACTCCCTTTGATTCTATTTTTATTTTAGATCAGTCAAAAGCAGAACAAAACTGAACAATATTATTGTAATTGTTTGACAAACTTGTATATAGAAGAAGGATATAATCATAAATGTTATTCCCCTTCGATGAGCTTATTTAATAAGCAAAAAAAAATAAATGACGTAAATTAAATAAACTCTGGAAAAACATGATACTGGTTGTGCCCTCTTCATACGGACCTGACATTATCGGGGGTGTTAGGGACCCCGTTGCGTAAATAACGCCGTCTGCGTACCGACCTGATATCATATGGGGTATTAAGGACCCCGAGACGCAGGTGACTATCTTTGCATACCAATAGTATAGCATCCGGGGTTCCAGGGACCCCGAAGCACCATTGACCATCTTTGCATACCGACATGATATCATCTTGGGGTGTCAGGAACCCCGTAGCACCGGTGACACTGTTTACATACCGACATTTTGGTATCCGGGGTGTCAGGGACCCCGAAGCCCTAGTGGCGCTCTATGCATACCGACCTGATTCCATCCTGGGGTATTTGGGACCCCGGTGCATGGGAGACGTTCTTTGAATACCGGCCTGAATTCATGTTGGGGTGTCAGGGACCCCATTGAACCGGCGGCGCTCTTTGCATACCGACTTTTTAAAGTGTGCTTTAGAAAATAGACCTGCTCTTAGTTTGTCATGTGTTCACTGTTAATTGTTTGATAATAGAAAGTTGTGAAAATACCTCATTTATTGACTTAATCATGTAAAATGGCAACAGATGAAAACTCATGGAGAACACAAAGCTTTCGGCAAAGCGTAATTGCAAAAATGTAAGTTAATATATACTAACAAATTTTCTATAACAATGTAGTTAATTCTAACAACACACATCATGAAAGATAAGTGAATCGTATAGTATTTAATGCTTATACAAAAATAGGAAATGATTGTGTTGGGAAATAAATAAAATTCATGTATATATTTATTACTATTAAACATTTATTATGCAGAGATGAAGCTGTACAAATGTCTGGAGTGCCCACTGCAAAAAATAGTATTGAAATGGAAAATCATGTTTTCCAAAAGGCAAAAACCAAGGTTTGTTATCTATTATCTTCTAATTTCCAATTTAATTAATTAAACAAATAGTTAATAAACCTTATGAAAATAAGACTAATAAGTTAAATATTTGTTTGGTATTATTAAAAAGTAAAAACTGTAAATCAGGCTTATTTACAATATAAATTTATTAAATTGCAGGAAGAATATCTAGGTTTCGTAGCCAGGCTAATTCTACATGTCAGAGAATTAAGTAATATACATTTTGATGTAATATGTAAATATTATTTCAGCAATTGAATGTTGGTATTACATTATCATTTTTCCTCTGTTTAGATTCTAAAAAAACAGCAGGAGGCTCTGCACCAGCTACTGTTGGTGCTGGAAATCAAGGAATGCCAGATCCAATTGGAGCATTACAAACATTGGCACGTCAGGGAACTGGTAATAATCAAATGATGAATATGAATGGACCAGGATCTAATCCTCAAGGAATAATCCCTCAATCTCCTGCAAATACTGCTACAAATTGTAAGTATGTGTATCAATTATTTAATACAAAGTACACTTTATTGTAATCAAGTATCATTTTTTGCAGTAAAAAAAGTTTTTAATAGATATGCATTTACAATTTTACATCTTATACACTCATTATGAAAATATTATTAATCATAATTTATTTTTTTAGCTTCAGATATATGTAAAGATATATAAGTACATACATATATTAATTTATATTTTTTCCGAGTAACATATCCTCGTATTGCTTAGAATAACCAAGATATTTAAGTGGACAGAGTTATGAGACACATATGCATATTATAAGTCCTTCAAAAGTAAAATATCAACAACACAAGAAGGTATATATTGTAGGGAGGGAAAAAAGCGTTTCATGCGCTATGTCGTTATTCGTTACGGCCAGTAACAAAGGTCGATGACGATCATATCGGGATAAAATGAAATAGAATGATGACTTTACAGCATTGCTGTAGCCTTTCAATCAAAGTGTCAACAATTAAGATATCATTTTATAGTTGATACTTTAATTGGGAGGCTACGCCACTGCTGTGGAATCATTCTATCTCATTCTGTCTCGATATGTTCGTTGTTATCCTTTGTTACCGGCCGTAGCCGACAAGGACAATGCGTGTGATACCTAGAGAGGTGAAATAGGATGAGAACGTGAGTTTGACTCGTAAACATCTCGCGAAATCATAGTAGTCATGAGCAAGAAGTTGGGCAGTTCTGGTCTACATTCCATAATTCAACAAAATATTTATTGAATCAGAGTTTTATAAAAAGGTTAAAAATGACAAGATTAACTAATATGTATTACTCCCAGTATGAGAGTAACACAGAAAGCGAGCCTGGCTATGATTCTGATAATCCAGATGCATTTAAAAGCTTAATGGAATCACCATCTCAAGCCGAATTTCGTAAATATCTTGAACAAAGACGTAGCGAAGAAGTATTGCACGAATCTTGGAAGCTTAAATTACGTGAAAAACCAGACCTTGCAGAAAATATCAAAGAGCAATGTGGTATGGCAGTTGACCTAAAAGATGATCGAGTATGTTATGTTTATAAACCTGCCATTGAGAGTACTATTGTAGGCATAAAATTTAAAATAACATTTGAATATATCAAACTATTGCGCAAATGGTACCTTAGTTTGGGACGTAGTCGTTTACCAGACGTAATAAATATTCAGAATAAATTTAAGGATGGTATTTATGATCCTATTAAACCAAAAGTACTTGCATTTATACAAAAGGTCAAAAACAAGTTTGATATTTATGTACAAAGATTGGTGAACACATATAAAGTGATCGATACTATAAAAGAAACCTACAAATATATGGAATTTGAAGTAAATCCATCCTTAACTGACATAAAAGCAGTGTTGAAAGATGAGGAATGGCCAAAAAGTATTAAAAAAATAAGCCATCAAGACTGCATAATTGTGAAATTGTCACTAGATACTAATCTTGAAGTTAGTGATGTTGAATATGAATATGTATATAGTGAACAAACATCTACTTTAAAGCACTATAAAATGTGCATAAAACAATTAGAAAAGAAATTACAAATATTTTTTGATTATCCTTTGGTAGAGGCCTTTATAACTTTCATGAAGGAAGATTAAATTCTGGACACATTTCATCACCATTTCTATCATTAAAATAAATCATGTAATTAGGATTAAAATATGTAATACTCTTTTGCATTCAGTTTATGTTTAAATATTTATTTATTGCGTATATTAACTAATATAAATACTTTTTTATTTATGATTAAATTGTATAGTTTCAGTTGATGTTTTTCAAAGTTATTTATCTTCAGTTGTTAACTCATGTTCACATTAAATATTAATTTAATTATATTTTGCATATGGCATTTTAATTACACATGAAATACATATTAAAATACACTTGTTTATTTTTTGTTATTATATTATTGTATCACTGTGTTCAGATTAAAATTTATAGTTTACATTGTTTTATGGTGTTTTTATTATTATTATTGTGAGTTAATTCACCTTTCTCCCATTACAATCTTACAATGTGTAGGATTAGGTAATACTTATATTTGAGATAGAAATATATTTTTCTATTTTTCTGGACTACATTCTTTTACTACTAGATATCTTCCTAAGACATGATCTATTGTGTTTATTTTAGTATTGCAAAGTTTAAATCAACGTCCCGGGCAACCTATAACCATGCAAGGTATGCAAAGTAAAATGCCAGGAATGGGTATGATGCCTACTCAAACCAGTGGTCCAATGAGTCATATGGGACCAATTCAGACTATGCAAAATAATTCAATGCTAACACAGATAAATCAAATGACACAGGGAAATATTCCTCAACAAATGAACCAGATGGTTACCAATCAAATGGGACAAATAACTACAAGTCAGATGCAACAAAATATGCAAGCATGTATCAACTGATGTACATATGTGTCGTTTTTTACTTATTTCTATTTTTGAAATTAGTAAAATTTATACATTATTTTTCAGACTCAAATGCAAAATCAACTATCTAATCAGATGGGTAATCAAATTGGTGGGTCTATCAGTGGAATCCAAACTAGTATCCCACAACAAATGAATCAAATTGCTCCAGGTCCATTAGGACCTAGTCAAATGCAACAACAATTAAGCCATATGCAGAGAAAGGTATACAAATAAAGAATTAACACGTAGTATTATTTAGAGATTTTCATGGGTATTAATACTTTTAGCAAGGTGAAATGATAAACGCTGGTTTCGCTGGTCCTCGAAATGTTACTCCAAATCAATTTCTAGGACAGAGCCCATCACCATCAGCTCCAAGTCCTGCTGGTTTAGGTGCACCATCAAGGTTACTATTGTACAATAACATCCCTAAAGCACTTCATATATGATTAGCTATTTCAGGATTTATATTGAAAGCAAATATTATGAAATACATTTTATAGTAATCAGATGGTAGCCTCGCCTGCCTTAGTTCCATCGCCAAGTCCACAACACGCAATAATGGCAGGATCACAACGATCTGTGGGTATGTTAAGATAATTGTTAGTGTAAAAGTGATACATTTAGAACTATCTAATAAAAGTAACAATAAAAAAAATTGTATTAAAATTAGGAATGGCACCATCCCCTAGTAGTTCTCTGAACACTCCGGGGGGTGTGGGTGCTACTCCAAGCCCACAGCAAGAAGATCAAGCATATAGAGATAAAGTTAGACAATTAAGTAAATATGTTGAACCTTTAAGAAGAATGATTGCTAAAATGGGAAACGAAGGAAGTAAGTATTTTAATGATTTTTATATGTATTATATTCCTTTACACATATATTAATTATATAATTTTTCGTTTTACAGATGTCGATAAGTTAAGCAAAATGAAAAAGCTATTAGAAATTTTATCAAATCCTACCAAACGTACTATGTCCTTGGATACATTATTAAAATGTGAAGTAGTTCTTGAAAAGTTGGATTTTAAACGAAGCGATGCCAGTGTAGGCCCTCCTGTAACAACACTAAAAGAACATCATTTCTTTAGTCCACTATTAGAAGCAGTAAGCACCCATCTCCAAAGTCCAGTAGTAAATCACACGTTACAACGTACCTTTGGCCCGTGTTTAGAAGCTTTGTTTGGTCCAGAAATAAAGTGGGTAGTAATTACATTTAACTATAATTCCAAAGTACTATGAACAAAGCATTGTGAAAATTTGTGAAACAGGAATTTACCTCCGCCATTGAAGAAACAGAAGATAGAAGAATCTCCAAGTGAAATACCAGATGTCTTACAAGGAGAAATAGCTCGATTGGACCAACGGTTTAAAGTAAATTATTCAATTTATTTGTTAATATATTACGTTAATTTATGTGATCATACATGAATATATAATTCACGCTTGTAAACATCTAGGTGAGTCTGGATCCAGCGCAACAAAATGGATCAAAGTGTATTCAGTTAATATGTTGGTTAGATGACCGTCATCTCCCGTGCGTTCCACCAGTGTCAGTTACGGTTCCTGCTGATTATCCTTTAACACCACCGCGTTGTGTTATGGCACCCCATGAATATGCCACAACATTCCTTTGTGCGGTTCAGAAAGCTTTAAATGCACGTATAACAAAACTTCCTCGACGTTTTTCCGTATCTCAGTTATTAGATACTTGGGAAATGAGTGTGAGACAAGCGAGTGCACCATCGCAAACTCCTGTAACCGCCAGTACAGTATTAATGGGTTTATAGTAAGCTTTTATATATAAAAGATAGTATGAATTTAAGACAATTATATAGTGACTATTTTTAATTTAATTATTTATTTGATTTGTTTGCGATAAGATATCTATATCCATATTTTCCCTTTTAACTTAAGACATTTTGTATGTTTATATGACGTTGTAAAATAAATATAAATGAATTTACTATTTTTTTTTATTATTTATATAGTTTCATTCAAACTTATTGTATAAAAATATGTTTAACTTTTGATTCCATATTTTCTTGTAAGAACAATGTATTATATGCAGTGATTGGCGGGTGAAAGGGCGTCGGGAGCTGGGGCTCCTGACGCCCCATGACACCCTTGCAGGTGGCCCGAGAAGAGGCCGGTGTCGGCTACAGGGTAGATAGCAGAGGGAGATCTTAATTTGGACCTTCTCCGAGATCGGCACCTGTGTGCCAGGCGTGGAGGGCTCTGGAATGACATAAAGCCCCAGAGTCCTCCTTTAACGCCAGCGTCGGTCGCCGTGGGGTTTTAGTCAGTAGGAATCTGACACTCCCCCGCTGCCCTTCCCCAGAGGACGATGGGGGGTCTTATGCAAGATTTCCCCACGTTAAAAAAAAAAAAAAAAAAATAATCTGCAGCCACTGAAATACATAGGTACTATTATTCCTGCAATGCCTTAACCATAGGTACAACGGTGTAAGTTGGGATAACATATGCGCGGGGCTTACACAACAAATTGTATCGTTCGTATTGTAAAGGAGCCAGTACTGCATGCGCTACGCTCCTTGTAACTTCGTCACTGTGTTGTACATTATTCACATATTAGGTGAATAAAACCCGGTATGTGAGGCATTAATAAAAATTTCAAGTACACAGTACACGTTAAGAAAGTAATCAAGCTTAAAAATTTCTAAGAAAGTTTTTGAAATTCATCATTAAAAATGAAAAGTGATCCAGTGATTAATCAAAGAAAGTGATAACTTCTTACACCTTATTAATATTGAAGGTAAGAGTGCATCTTTTTATTATTTGTCAAATAAACAAATATGTATAATTTTATCTTAACCATATTGTTAATGTTATTCTATTAAGGGTTCTTATCAAAAATTAGGTACTTAGAATTTGAAAAAATATATCTATAATCATTTTTATTTATTGCACTGTGTCCAGTTTGATTTTGTGGTATAAAACTTTTACACGGAACATGCAGGAGCTACAGGGACTCTTAATCATCGCAGGCAGTAATGATGAAAATGCTCTGGGCGCGATAAAACTGGCTTCATTTTTGGCAAATTTCTAAAGGGTGGGAGACACAGCCGTTACCTGAATAACGCACAGCCCGCATCTTTCATTGGATGTTGTCTCGACCTATATTTCGTTTTGTTTGTTATACGTCGCCCTTTCAATTTCTCACTCCATTCTTTTTTCCTCTACACTTACATCATCTATGAAGTTTAAACGGTGTGCCTAATCGACCGACTTATAAAACATGTAAATTTATGTAAATGGCATTGTGCCTATCTTCCAAACACAATATACCATCAACAATACCTTTTAAAACATTTTAGAATCTATATTTTATACAAAGTAGTAATTACTCATATAATTAAACTCTAAGAAATTATAATGATTTTTTATATTACAACATCAACTGATAAACACAGTTGTTTACAAATCTTATTACTTATCTTATACCATATGTATAGCTTAAGATTTAAGCGTTAGATATTATTAACTCCTTGATACAATATTCCGATTTTTTTGTTAAACACTTGCGTCAATATATGTTTCAAAATTCTACTGATTAGAGTGAAAATCGAATAAGATAGTTATAAATAATGAATCATCAATAATAACTTATATATTTAGTTTCTTAAGTGATAATTTGTTGCTAATGTGTTCTAAAACATTTTCCTTGTAAGAAAATAGTTTTATTTTAATACAATAATGTTATAAAATCCATATATTTGTGCTTAAAAAGTTTTGACGTCTTCCTGCCTTTAATAGTGACGCGCTTTCTGCGCATGTCTATTGCGCATCACGTGACTAATATTTACGAAGTTGGCGGTACATCATGGTTTTTGAAATGTTTAAATTTTACTAGGTATTCAAAATTAAGAAAAAGACAACTCGTGTAATTTCCGTGCAATATAATCAAAGCAGATTATAATTGATTTTTATTTTTTGCATCCTGATAGTAACTTAATCGCTCGATCAAGTTTCAAGATTACCCTGTTTTTATGAAAAACCACCGGCATTGCCGAAACTGTCCACAACTTTTTTCCTTTTTTAAGAACCTGACACCGGTGGTCTACGTGCTCGAAATACAGGCTACAACACGATGGCGAAAGGCCACGATTGATGGTACAAAGAATTCGAATCGCTTGCCACTGGCGTTCAAGGCATGTACTTTCTCGGTATAAAGAATCAAACATGCTTGCCTTTTCAATATATTAATAATGTTCCTCGACCACAACCGATTTATCGATTTCCCAGAAGCATTTATCATTGCTTGCTATTATTGATTCATATACGGTAGCCAATTTCTTTTTAAAAGCCTTTCAGAAATTTGTATACTTATCTGAATATTTTTACAGACAATTTTTTAATTAAATTACAATTAAAATTCTAATGAAAATTGGAAGTTCATTAATATTCCTGACACGAAGAGATTCGTTTAATAATGTATTAAAAGAATTCCATTTATTCCGTTTTCGTACAAGTATCTGTTTAAGACTTTACTAATTGCTGTTCTAAGCAAACCAATTAGCGAATAAATTATATCCTTCTTCATTTACCTCTATCTAATTCGATGGTTGATTGGCTAACGAGCTTGATTGACTAATTACGCGCCACATAAATTAATCAAATATCTATTTGATGAATTATCTAAGATTTTATAAGATAGAAGGTAAAAGACAATTATACAAAATCTTAATTTTAATAAAAACATAAAATTAAGAATTGAATTACTATCTGAATGATTGCAATTTATGATTCAACGATACATCACTAATTTACATACCTATATGATGTTTCTTTATGTCTTTTTTTTTCAATGATAAAATATGACGCGCTTTTTTGTTCGAATCTCACACACTTTTTACTCTCTTACATAAGATGCGTGATTTGTAAAAAAGAAAAAAAAGTACTTCTTGGTATGAAAAATAAAACTACAAATTCATGAAGAATAAATACATACTAATCCGGGCAATTGGTTTTCTTCTTAAGTGTCATCGGTGGTCACTTAAGTAGCAATATATCACTTCTTAGTTACATATGTTAGTCACAATTCCCAAAATAGCATATTTCATTACCATTAGTAAGGATACTCTAATAAATTAAATCTACTATTAAGTTATATTTAAAGAAATTTAAAACTCACCTAAGAAATTCACTTTCAACGCGATGCAGACGAGTATCATGTATCGCGATGAAACGAAACTCGCGTCCATCCGCGTCACTGTTGGTCAGTAAAGAAATGCAAAAATGCAAAAATGACGTACGAACTCATTATCGGGATCATTGTGGCACGGAAATAAGCCTTGGAAATTGATAAAACAAACGATTTAACACGCCGTTGCGCACGCTCGACGAACGATAATCGGCCGGCCAGCAGCCTCACCGTTGATAAGCGATAATTCAGAAACATGTTACGCATATAATGTGTAGTGGAGCAAGTTAGATGACAGTAACTAATGAGGCGGTCCTGCGTTAATTACGATGAGGCCGGACTTTCGATTGGTGGTCCAACAGGAAATGCCTCTGGCAGCGGTAAATTAATTCAACTCTTCTTCTTCTTTTTCTTCTACTTTTTCTTCGCTTTATAACTTGTTTTTTTTTTTTTCAATTTTTCTACAAAAACAATGATGTATTGTTTCAATCGGTCATTGAACTAATAATTTCAACAATTGCTTATTATCATACCTTATAAAATTTAAACACCCGAGCTCATTCCGTGAACACTTAAATGATAATTGATCAGCCGAACGTCATTCCTTATTGATAACTAACACTTGATCGAAACAATCGTAGATATTTTGTAATTCATTCTAAGAAGAACGAAGTTAATTACCTATTTTATTAAACATCCTCTTGATATTAAAATGTTTTATAAAAACTTTTCAGTTCGAATAACAAAGTATAATTATTAGCAAAAAGGTCCTTGGTAGAAATATATAATTATAAAAATATTGAAATTGGATTAAAACTTGTATACTTTCATCTTGACAGTATAATTAAATCCTTTTCAGGAATCACATTCTCCTTGAATTTTAATTCAACATCCTTTCTCATTTAATTAACATGTTGACCGCCACACAGTTGTTTAACTTGTTACCTCACATTCATGTTCTGTAATTACTCGCTTAAATTCAATTTTGCTAATTACAAATCACTGGTAACCATCATATCACAATCAATGTATTTTAAACACTCTCGGCGACCGCGATAAAGAACTCCTTAATTACCTTGTTAAATGATTAAACGGGTCATGATTTCACGTACGTATCATCTGCGTTAATTTAGAAACGACACACGCCACGATTAATCCGACTCGTTAAGAAGGACAAATGATGGAATGAGAATTAGTAATATGCACACAATGAGAATGTATCTAGCGGGCGGCATACAAAGCGGTGTGGGACATGTCAAATAAGGCAGCAAGATAACAACGGGCATACCCATGAGAGGAATAATAATTGCGCACGATACCTGGTGTGAATGTACCATGACAATTGTGGTAGTAAGGACAGAGAATTCTATGGTCGTTTCTCTTTCGTAACACTTGTGTCGCCCATTATTATCATAAAGGGACTGAGGATGTTAGATGACGGGCCTTGAGATGTCCTGAATCTTACAACGAGAGACTGAGATGTGATCCTCGTTGATTTCGATGATGATGAGTCTAAGTCTATATCAACAATAAGCATAGCTTTAATTTTTAGAAAAACGCAATTTTAAAAATACTACAGTCACCTTTTATTATCATGTAAGAGCATCCTGCTATTGAAACACATTTCCTGTTTGCTTTCCATTTACATAGTCATGGCTCACTGGCCATTAATCATAATTTCCTACAAATTATTTGATCAGTGAAAACATTAAGAGAAAGGAAATGAGCCTCTAATGCTCTTATTATGATGCTTTGAATGTTTCCTAAATATCTTCACAAGAAATATTCCCCTAAAAACATGATTTAAATTAAGAAACAGGAACAGCAAGAATTTAGAATGTTAAAGTTCCAGGAAGCTGATTATTTCATTCCTTTACCTTACAAATGGTAAAAGAGAACTCATACCAAGAAACAAGGTGTCATGTTTCTTTTCTTTTTGTTAACGACCATTAAAATTCTTCAAGCCTGAGAAGCCTGAATGGCACGAACACACCACGGAGGATTCTTCGATGTCTGGACTGGTTGGATCTCTGCGAGGCTTGGAGGACAATTCCGGGAATACAACGCAGCCTTATCGCAGGAACAGCCTTGCTTTATCATTACATTCCAATTTAGCTGCTTTTCCGGCAGCTAATAATCATGAAGTCTCGTCTTTCCATGTGGTCGACTCAGCAAGGAGGAGATTCAGCAACGTCAGCGATGTTGTTTCCAGGAAGATATCTCATACAATACGCTGGAGGACTGTTTCAGCTTCTGTTGAGCTTACGGTTTCTCAGGTACCCATACAATACCAGCATCTGAAATAAACCATTAATGATAATTAGAATAATTAACACGTTCACCGTAGAGCTGGCATAGCCATTATTCAATTAATATTACTAATAATAGGGATCTTCATTATGCGCTCAATACATTCGAAACCGATTGAAACGATCAGGAATCTTCCATCGAAAACTTGGACTAAAAAGAATGAGAAGTGTTATGTTGCTTCCTGGTGGAGCAGTTGTTGGAGAAGTATATCCAGAGTTAGTATCAATTGGAGCTGAGCTTGAAAAAATGCATCCAAATTTATTCAACCGTGTAGCACGACAGATCGGTTGTGGTAGCTTCTCCACTGAACAATCTGCTTGTGAGGCTATCGTCGATGTCTCCAGGGAAATGATCAGGAATGGAGAGATGAATTGGAGTAAAGTAATAGCCCTTTATGCGGTTGCTGGTGGCATTGCTGTAGATTGTGTACGCCAGGGAAAACCTGAATTCCTACCTGCCATACAAAGAGGTAATTAACTGTTTTAAAATTATAATATTATGCTTTTTAATCAAATATCAATTAGTCTTTTCTTTTTCAATTTCAGGCATGACAGATGTTCTGGAAGAGGACCTTGCTGTATGGATACAGGCCAATGGAGGATGGGTAAGAGAGTAGTTAATGTAATATTGAATTATTTTGAAAATTATCCAGATTTATTCAAATTATTTTGATAGAGTAGAAATAATATTCATGTTCGTTGCTTTAAAAATAGATGTACTATTAATTTCAGTCTGCTTTAACAACACGGTACAGACCGCCGACAAAAGAGACTATATGGTATTCACGGAAACTCGGATTGTTATTTATAATTACCATTTTAATAATTATCATGATCTCCATATCTTTAAAACTATTAGTTTTATAATACGTATTAAATATAAATATATTAAACCAACTTTACTGCACTGTCCTTGAATTCAAGTATCCTCTTTGCTGCATGTAAATTGTTTGTTGTGTCGCTTATTCTATCTTAATAATTAAAAGATTTTTTAATTTAAATATTTTCCAATACCGGTTCGTTATATTTCATAGATATATATTTTAACAAACAATTCGTATAAACGCAGCTAGTTTTACGTTTTCAGATCTGCATTTCCTCATCCAACGTTTCCTGCTTTTGTATTTCTGCCTCAGGTAATTCGATTTCATCTGCCTTATAGGTAGTCTGTTTAGTGGCTTCCTAGTGAAAACAGTTTTTGTCTCACTAGTTAAAAAGAAACATATAACATTAAGTGCAAAACGCTAGAGGACTGTGCAATATTGAATGAAAATAATTCGATTTACTTGTGATTTGGCAACATTTGCTACATATGCAAGAAAGCTTTGATTTGTCTCTTCCTTATTAATAACTTGAAGATATTTTTTTCTTGCATTTAGTACTTCATCCTGTTGCTTTTTATGTCTGATTGCTAACTCTAACGCTCTAAATAAATGTATGAAATTAAAAACAATATTATTCATAATAATATAATAGAATGAAAAATACCTATTCCAGTTGTACACTTCAATATTAATTCGTATAGCTTCTTCAATTAATCCATTTTGTAAAAGAATTCCTTCTGCAGTTAGTAAGTCCCCTGATAGAAGTGCCATTTCTGCTAATCTTTCTGTTTTGCTTGGTAGTCTCTTCAATTTAATTATGTATAAATTAAAATTTATTTGAAAAACAATATCTTCAAATAATATTACCTTAATATACTGAATATAATCGACTTTGTCGTATCTTGAAATTGCTGCGTACGCTTCTTCAGCAGCATCCAATTCTTTATCATCAGTTGCCATAACAGCCATACAAGTCCATAATATTTCATTCTAAGAATTAATTTTCTTAATTAGTGATAAAATAAGGATAAAAAATAAAGCTATTAATTACCTGAGCAATTCGACAAAGGGACAATGCTTCTTTCCATCTCTTATTTAAAATATGCTGTTGAAGACTAATAAAAAAAGTATAAAAGGAAGAAGCTACTAATGCCCCATCACCGCGTCTTACCATTACCATTCCATTATACACATTTGCTATACTTGGCTGCTTACCAAATTCACTAAAGACGTTAATGAGAAATAATTCACAGGAAAGAAAATACATTGTTTTATAAAATAATATAAAAAGTATGAAACCTGCTTTCTTTGTCGATTCTTGTTTTTCGTATGATTTTACGATCACTATAGTGCACACAATTGGGACATAGCCAGACGGATAATGTTGCATCCAGCATTGCTGCTAAAACATTTGCATCAGCCGCCCATGCTATATCTTGTGTCATAGCCGCTAGAAAATATAGATAGTAAAAATATTGTAATGGTGTATTTATTAAAACACCATAATGTAACTAATAAAATGCATACCTATTTTACATACTCTACCAAAACCACTAGCTCGTATAGAGACCAGAAACAAATCCTTATTTATATCAATTAAAGCTACTTGTCTATCAGTTAATCCACCAACGTGATTTAATGCAACTCTTGTAATACTTTGAAGATGTGTGTATGCTTGACTTTCTACTATAGGTTTATTATAAGCAACTTCCAAAACATGAAGTACTGAAACATAACTTTTACTAATATGTATGTATTTATAGAAATGTTCTTTTAAAGAATTTATTTTGTTTCATACTTTTGTCGTTACTTTGTGATCTTATAACTAAAGTATCAGAACATAATGATATACAGGATGGATAAAGTCGTTCCTGTGTCATTCCTTTCCATTTTGGAGTTCCTAATAGCCGCCCTTGGTAACTGTATAATAGTACATTATTCCATTCAACTAATAAAAAATGCCTATAAAATAATACATGTATAAATGATGCTTCATTTATTTTTCTTTGTAGTATAAAATATATCTGGTACATACTTTTCTGCTAGAAGGACTGCTGATACACTAGTATTCTTCAAATCGAATATAGCAGGTGTATTCCAATTTGTAACAGAGTAAACATGACACTGTGCAGGTGTGATAACGACTAAATGATCAAAACCGAACTCTAATTGAACAACGCGATCTGATATCTCCAATGTTTCTCGTATTTCATTACCAACATCTCTGATTTCAATTACTTTTCTTTTAACTAATGTAGCTTCATAGTTGTTCCACTCCAATCTCCTGTTTTCGCAAAATATCAGAACATAATAACAGTGATGGTAAATAATGTTTTAAAATATTTGAATACCTATCAATTATATGGCCTGTAAGTACAGTTCCATTACTGCAAGCCATAGCTACTTGAGTGCCATCACTTGACCAAGCAATACTGTAAATGCTTCCAGCATTAACTTTCTCTAATGAATGAGACCACTAAAATATAGATACAGGAAATGAGTGAAAGGAATGTTAGTGAAAAGGAATTAATACAGAAACACAAGTAATACAAAATATGAAAGTAAACTAACTCCTGTTCTATCACACAGCTTAACTGTATTAAATGATCCCACAGCAAAATAGTTTCCAGAATAACTCCAACTCACTGCAGTGATGGGATGATCTCCCGCATTACTAGAGAATAATTGAGTGCCATTGGAATCCCATACCTGAAAATAAATTCATTCTATGTATTAGGAAAAATTAATTTTTATTTTATATGTATATTATATACCTTGTATCTACAATCTTCTCCACCGGAGATTATTAATCCATGAGTATGATTCCAGCACAAAACCAAAATGAGACCATCATGCGCTAATAACTTGCGAGGTTTAGAATTAGAGTTAAGTGACTGGAAAGTTAAATGACCACTCTGGGAATATAATACTGTGGTACAATCTGGACTCCATGCAGCTGATAAAATAGGGAATGAGCCTCTGACCACAACGGAACGAAGCATGCCACTACGTGACCACACTTTTATCAAACCATCTTCACCAGCTGAAAATAAAGTAAAAGATTAATTGAAAAGAAAATACTTCATTTAAAAGATTTTAATTACCAGTCAAGAGTGCAGAACCATCACTGCTCCATCTGCCTACTGTAGTTGCTCCTTTGTGAGCATCTACACTTTTTTCTATACGTCCATTTTTGTTCACTAAATGATACTTTCCTGTAATAGAAACATCAATGCAACAATGTATTTTGATGATTACAGTACAATACACTTTAAGTTTTAAGAATTAAAATAAATACCATCAGCTGTAGTAATTAAGAGCACATCTAACGATTGTTTCTTGGTAATTAATAGAGCATAATTCGGTCTTGGATGCCATTGCATATCAGTCGGATAAAAATCATCAGGAAATTCTGTGACAATGCTAGAATGTGCGATTCCACCTTCTAAGTGCCATGATATTAATAGATGATCCTCGCTATAAAAAAAATTAATTCATTATAATAATTTACATAGTTTTCCCTGAAAACAAACATACCCGCAAGAATAAATTTCTTCTGCAGAGCTCCATGCTACACATGTTACCAAACGCTTATGACCATTACGGTTTTGTGCAGATATTTTGAATCTCATTTTACACCTTTTATCGCCTTAATTCCTACCCAAATACATATGTAAATTCCTTTATAATTTTATGCAGAAACACCTTATATTTGACATCATGCAAAGTAAATATTCTATAGTACAAATTCGATCACATAGTTAAAAGTTCTGGAGTGTTTTGACATATGGTTACCATAGTGACAAGTATATTCACACAACATATTCTCCTTATTCCATGTTCAGACACGAGTTGTCCTAAAATAGATTCAATGAAAAGTCCTTAGGTGAAACCCAATTTTACACATGTTTATTAAAGCTGTCTCAATACAATTCATTAATTTTCATTAGCACAACCTGATATTCCTCCCCATAATACATACAAATAAATCCATGAGAAAGTGGTAAACCCCTTAAAGAGATCCCCACAGTACCCAGACCTCACAACCTTTTCTTTAATATTTTATAAACGACGGTGTCTCATAATGTTACAAACGTTTTTTCAACGCGATGCAATGCCGGCATTGGAAGATATCGCTTACATTGAATGCAATGTAATAATTATATATAAAATAGAACATTTTGGAGATAACGCTCAGATCTGTACAACCGAGAATTATACATTCATCGTGTAATATATATAAATTGTGTAATATACATATATTCACGTGTGTATATATATATATCTATTCATGTAGATCTATATAAATGTACATATACGTTAATTTATATCTTATACATATGCTTACAGACTTTTGCGTAAATTTTGCTGATGAAGAGTTAGGATAGTTGGTCGCGTGAAGGTAAATGAATACCTATGTATTGCGATGAAAATCAGAGAGAAATGTAAAATATTTTGTTAACAAGAACGTAATGACGAGACTCATGAAAACGAAAAAGAGAAATAAATTTAGAGATTTAACAGACAAGACATGTTACATTCTCATACGTCAGTGTACCACCGTTCCCAATCAAGGAACAACCGTGCATTTTTTAACATATTAATGACACACATAACTGCTCTGAAAAAATTGCTTAAAAATTTCACTCTGTATCTACAGAAAATATGATTGATTCTATATTATTTATCAAAAATAAATGCATTAAAATATTATTCCAATAGTGACTTACAGATGTAACATCAATAAAAATGAATTATATAAGAAGAATTTAAAAAGACTATACAGTACAAAGCTTTCAGAGCTTCTTCTACAAATACGGATAAGAAATATCCGAACCAGAATAACAACTATCCCAAGAACGATTCTGTACAAAATATATATATATTAAAACTCGTTTGATAATAGTTTAGCAAAAAAGAAGAAAAAAGAAGAGTAAACGCCTCATGATATTTACATCTATGTCACTACATTGCTCACTTTCTGGATTAGTTAGCTTATTACAATTCTTCTTACTATTAATTATTAATATTATTACATCAAAACCCTATTTTATTTATCTATGTGTTTTGATTAATACGTAACCTTGGCTCATTATCTTTGATAAAGGACACATTTCATTTTTTCATTTTGAGGCGATATCGATGATCATGCTATTAATATATTTTACAATTAGAAAGTATTATATGGTGTCGATAAATATCTGCAATGTGCATCTTTTGTATTTACAATTTCTTCTAATTAAAATCCTTTACATCCTTATTGTTTTTTGTTATAAATAATATATCATTAATGCTACGGCGCTCCTTATTTCTCATCAGTTCTTTTTTATTTTTATTTTTTTCATTTTGGTATAGGAACCTTTTTCGACTCACACATTATTCGAGCTTTTTTCTAACCAACTCTTCTAATACTGTTAATTTTTAAACGATCCGGACATAACTCGTTTTGAAATGATAGCGTTAATGAAACTTCTAACAGCATACATACATGTACACTCGGGTGCAACATAGGCTTCTTTGGACTTTAATCTTAGGAGAACCCTGTCCTCTGTCCTCTAATTAAGAAAAGCCCAAGCTGCACATGACCATAAGTTTATACATACACATCTTGTTCGAAAATCACTCTATATGCTAGCTGTTAGAAACTTTCGTTGATTGGCATGCGAATATTATTGCGTTTTTTCATTATATTAAAAGTAATCGCAAAGAAATCCCACACTGACATATTATCACTTGAAGCTTTACAATTTGTTCAACAGCAAATGTTTTAATATCATTCGTGACAATAATAAAATTACTTTGTCTCGTGTACTTTTGTGACAAAGAATTTCAGTGCTATTCAAATGATTCATAATTGTATGCAAAATTTTAATCTAAACATCATAAACATATCTTGCTAATGAGAATAATACTTGCAGCTGCCTTCGCATTTTCTTTTGTTCGTATCTCTCAATAGATGATCCTATAAATTTTTTTTTAAAGACGACTCAATAAAATAATTCACTTTCCGCTGAAAGTATCTATAAATGTTCCAAGACACAAAACCATGTCCTGTTACATAAAATGGTTCTACAAAAGTGTGTAAATTACGAATTAATACATAATTACAGATTCTTATGTACAAACATACAGTCTCGTCATGGAATGGTATGACACTATATGTATTACATATATATATATATATATATTATTACTTATCTTAAATACCCTTACAATTGTTTCTTTGCGACTATAATACAATCGTTATACCTAAGAGTTCATATTACTGGCGAACATTGAACAATGTCGACGATGACATATACGTGTAGTAAATAATATCATTCGTTAAACTCGATGATTTTAAAATCACGGATTATTAAATTTATACAAAAATTCAACGATATACGCTGTTCATAGGAAATGCTTCAATATGCACAATGATGCAGATGATATAAACAAATCGACCATTAAAACAGATTGAGATCAATGAAAAAATGATTAGCAGAAATAAAGAATAAAAATGACCGTTACTTCCTTTTGTTTCTTTTTTTTCTGAGAGCTTAAGCAGACTTAAAGATAGCAAGAAAGATGTTTTTACAGAAAGAAGCTCAGTTTAACGCGTGACTGTTTCTACGCCTTAGGAACACTCTACTGTTAACCGGATACACTCTGGTTAATAGTATCAATGAGCTGCCAAGAGCCAATTTAACTGGAGCTTGTCGACCACCAGGTAATCTGATGAAGACAGTGGCTACAGCCGCAACACCGTCATCGGTAGGCTCCACTGCTACTGGTTTAACATCACTGTGAAAGCTAACTAATTTATTGCGTCTACTTTTTCGCTGAGGCGAACTTGGACTACAGTCGTTACCATCTCGATCGTAAATGATGGTAGCTGAAGCGAAAGGTCTCTTAGCCATGTGTAACATTTCGACAACGTGTCTTCTCCGTGCTCTTCGTACGTCGGCTGCTTGTTTCGTTTTCCAAGCGACTACGCAAGCAGCTAAGAATAGAAAGAAACAGGAGAAGAACACGGAGAAGAATACGAAAAGATCTATGTGAAGTTGATCTTGCCGGAAAAAGATCATCCCGTACGCGGCTCGGCCGCTTGTTTCCGGATAAACTGGATCAATTGCTCTCAACGCGATGTGAAACTTTGTTTGATGAAGTTCGTGCTTATCTTGTGGCAAAGTTAACACTAATCGATTTGTAAGGTTCCTTACCACTAAGAACGTGTTTCTGTTCTCGATTGTTAAAAAAGTAGCCAAACCTTCTGCGAAGCATTCCATTACAATGTACTGAGGGCCGGTATTCCAAGTTGGTTCTGTGGTGGTGCCATTAGATGCAAATGAAAATGTATTGTGCGGATGAAATTCGACGATTCTCATTAAGCTACGAGTATGTTCATCGAGCCACATATTGTGCTGGTCTTTATGCCACACGAATCTGCTGTCCAGTTCAACCTAAAGATAAGTTAATGTTAAAATAGAGTTGAGAAGTTAATATATGTGGAATAATAGAAATATTTCAAACGCATACATCTTGATAGCCTGTTGACGAATTTAAAGTAACAACGAAAGAATCGTCGCGCGGGCTGAGAAATAGATCTAAAGCCCCTTGAGTTACATCTACCATAACTCTGATATCAACGTTCATAAAACGAGGTTGTACCATGTAAAATACCGTCTGACCGGGATTCAATGGTTTTGGCTTCATCTTACACTCGTCTGTAATTGATTAAGACAATGTATTAATAATATATGATGCATAAATGTTGATTAAAAACACTTGTCATCGTGAGAGAAGTACGAACCATAAGATCCTTCACATATAATAGAATGTTGCAATTCAAGAAAAGTAATACTTAGTTAAAGTGCTTAGTGCATGAATACAATGAATGTATATGGTAGAAAAATTGCAATAAATATGACAGAAAACAAAATGGTGAAATAATACACGTTTATAGATACTTGGTAAATAACTTACCTATCAACTTCGAGTCAAAACACATCTTGTTATCGACAGTTACAGTTTTATAACACTGATGACCCATGGTTGGTGTTCCAGCATAGTTCTCCTTGCATTTACTGCATTGTACCATCCAGCATGGCGGGCCGCCGGTATTTGAACCTTTTATCGGACCGCTAGCACAGGATGGTTCACTTTCTGTATTATTACCACAATTACACTTTTCTCCTGTTACGGGATCACAAGTGAATCCATGCCCATGACATTCACAACTACAATATTAAATAATCTATTAATTAATATAAACACTCTCAAAATGCAAAAACTCGAAAATACTAACGGCCGACAGATAGCACGAGGATCTTCTGTTCCTCTGAAATAACCGGTCATACATTCACCACACTTATCACCTTTAGTGTTATTCCCACAATTTACACATTTTGCTTTGGCTACAGGACCTTCGACCAATTGTTTCTTTAAAAGTTCTATAGACATTTTGTCAATGGAATTTGGATCCTATAAACGGTATCACATATGATTTATTCAATTTTAATGTATATATCTTTAAAACGTGAAATTAACTTTAAAATTACCGGTACAGTCATGCTTTCGTTAATGCAAATTCGTGTATGCCCGTTACAATATTCAAGACATGGTACGCATTGTCCATTATCAGCTGGATTTCCAACAAATAATGGTAGACATTTGTCGCATTGTGGTCCCATCGTATTATTATGACATTCTAAACAGACATCTAATTTGTCTGGGCCTGCACAATTACTGTGACCATTACATTGGCACTGAATGGAACAATTGGCACCTACGTAACCAAAGTCACAACGACAAACATTTGGTTCTACGCAAGTTCCTCTAACACAACCTTGCGTACACGTTGGTACACAAATTCGTCTAAAAATGTAATATTTGTTAGATATATTAAAAAATAATAATAATGAATCTGAAGTTGAAATCTCACCTTCCAAATTCATTAAACGACGACGGACTGAAATAAAGATAAATCATTGAATTATTTAATTAAAATTAATGTTATTAGAGCTAATAGAAAGGAAATAAATGTACCTTGCAGTTTTATATCCATCACCACACAAACACTCAAATCCTTCTGTCAAATCGAAACATTGTTCACTTTTTGGGGAACATGTGTGGTGTCCATTGGTACATTCGTCTTCTGGGGGACATCGTACATAGTGCCAAGAAAATACTGGTTTTGATGAAACGCTAGGAATTAACATTGTAACATTGTCCGGAGCTTCTGAAGATTCTAAATAATGCGGAAATGTCGTAGTTACGAATGCTGTAATCGTTTAAAGAAAATTAATATAGGGAGATGATAATTTAGAAATTGTACTTTAGTTTTACATACGTGGTTCAGTCTGAGGGAATTGTTGGTAGTATAACATTTCACATGTTCCACCAGCTGGATGATCTGTAGGTGCTTCAAGTGAACCTTCTGTACATATTCCTTGACCGGTTATATTAGCTAAATCTAAAGAACACCATCCACAGTGTGAATGCTTTAAACACGTGTTACACTGCTTGAAAACAGAACATGGTTCAGGACAATGATCCATATCCGAGCTTCGCAATACTAATCCGCATACGCCTCCAGCACAGTAAAGAGGTTGGTACGATGGAGAAATGCACTAGAATTTTTTTAATAATCAGATATTTATAGTAATGTTAATTATTCAATTTAAATTTTGATAATTGTTTTATTTACTTCGTTAAGTTGTGTCGACCATCGACATTCTCGCCATCCACCTTCTGCTCCTGTACCCTTTAAACAACTTTTGCAATCTTTATGTTCTGCGCATCGTTTTTCACATTGCGTGCTTCCCATTTTGATGCTTGATCTCTCAAAAATGTAATCCGGTACACAATTCCAATCATATGCCGGTTCACCGGTTACTGCTAATCCCAATTCAGCTAAGAATATTTATAAAAATTATTAAGAACTGTTAATAACTGCTGTTACATTTTCTAATCTCTATTTGAAACTTACAAGTTTTTAAAACCTGTCTTGTCCACACGCAACCTTCGAGGCTGTTACACTTCTCACAATCACTTGCTGGACATTGCCGTTCACCGCACTGATTCACGTCGGCCATGGATATTTGCCTGATGCTGCATTTATTTAATTCATCGCAAACTTTCTCAGACGGTATACACTTTCCACTTGGACAGTTTGTGCACCATTTACATACTGGCTCCTCATTTTTATAATATGGCCATTCTGCTAAACACTCTGTGCAAGTTTTAAAATTTTGACATTTTCTACTTGCCATCCATTCTGAATTACAAAATATTCCATTTGATCGTTGAGCTTGGGTAACATTAATATCGCATCTGAAACAGAAATTGCTTTAGTATTTTGAAAAATGATCACGTGAAGTGTTTAGGGTGAACATTTACCGATCATCTTTGTTAACTGAAACTTCATTAGAGAAACAGAAAGAAGCGTTATTCCCACTGATTGTAATAACAGAGCAGAACGAACATCCAAAATATTTTCTGCAAGTTATTTTATCCGTCCAAAGATTACACAAATCTTCAGGAATGCTTATTAGAGTGACGTGACTTTTGATTCCACCGTCAAAACCTCCAACAACGTATACCGCATTAGATTCTGGATCCGCGTGAGTCATTGCATGGGCATATGCAGGTGGTGGTGGACTTCCAATAACTTCCATGTCTTTCGTTATTAAACGGATCCACAAATTACATGAATATTTATAAGCGATCAACGAATCAGAAGTATTATGCGGATTTTGGCGACCACCAAATATTACCATGTACTCATCAGTGGTGACTGCAGAATGAAGAAATCTAGCTTGTGGCTGCAATCATCATACCAATCAATCTTTATTTACCCAAAATAATTAAATAATCATTTACTTACCAAACTATTTCCATCGGTAAGATCATCATCAAATGGTGGAAGCACAGACCACGTTCGAGTTTTGTAATTCAGTGCATACAATTTGTTGGAAATAAACGTACGATTTATTGCATAAGTATATCCACCAAAAATGTAAAAGCTATCCGACTTGCTATGGTACACAGTTGAATGCCCGTAAACACCTAATGGTCCATTACCAATTGTATTTATCGTATCCCAAGTTTCTGTCTCCAAGTTGAATTCCCATACTGTATCAAGGTATCCATACTTAGGGCTGAATCCTCCAATCAATATTAGACTTTCTGATTCTCCACTTCTACGTAGAGTCAATGTATGGCCGGCTAAAGGTGATGGTTCTCTATTAAACTCATCCTGTATAATTTGCATCCATCTTTGATTTTGCAAACTGAACTTCCAAAAGTCGCTCAGTGTATTGTTCGATAATCCTTGAATGTCTTCTTCTTTCATTGATAATCCACCATAAACGTATATCTGTTGTCTACTATGCACAATCTCGGCTGCATGAAAGTATCTACCTTGAGGCATAGAAGCTTCTGAAGTAGATTCGACAGTAATTGGCATCCATGTATTATTTTTGGTATCGAATAATCTGATATCATTTAAAGGACCATGACTGAGTGAATATCCTCCAAACATCCACAGGCTACCCCTTCTGTCGGCAACTAATGTATGACCAAAACGTGGTAGAGTTTTTCGGAGATGATCCAAGTGATCGGCTAAATATTCAGAATTAAATAATTCAGTAAATATTAATTGGTGTTCTTTAATCTTAATGGAGCAATCGCGACCTCCGTAATCAGCTGTGCAAACACAGCGTCCATAGCCTTTATCACAAACTCCTTGTTTTTTCGACGAAGTACAATTGTTAGGGCATATTTCGATGTCGCAATTGATTCCTACAAAACCGATTTTACATAAACAGTTCCCGTTGCGACATTCTCGATTTCCAGGACAATTGTTACATGTCATTATCAGATAACTTGCATTAAAACCCTCCACTTCATCTAGTTGTTTATAATGAACAGTAAGGAAGCCAGACTTAGCTTCCACAGTTACAGGGTAGTCTGTACTTTCTGTACAGTAAACGCCAAGTAGCTGACTTTGATGACTAGTCGATGATGAAACAAATTCTGGAAGTCCGTCGTATACGTAGACGCTGTTCTCTTGGCAACTAACATTTATATCGCTGTGTATAGTGAATTGTATTACACTCTGAGTTGCTGAAAGCATAGTATCCGATGAAAGATCTGTTTTTGGGCTTACTATCCAGAGACATTCTCTTGTTGGTGAGTCTCCAAAATGACTTTCCCATAAAGATGACTGCGAGTGTCTGCTGCCAAGACCTTGTCTACCAGCTCCTTCGCCTCCAAGCATTCCTCGTGACATACAACCGTAATAACACATTCCACCGTCTCTTGGATCACCATAATATCCTTTCTTGCAACGTTCGCACATATCCCCTTCGGTATTGTCACGACAGAAACATATACCAGACCGATTGCAAATACCTAAATCTTTGTCTCCGTGTTCATTACAATTACACTTTTTACATCCAAGTGGTGTTATAGCATTACCGTAACTGCCTGCTTTACATTCTTCGCAATATCTACCGGTAGTCCAGCCTTGACATTCGTCGCAAATACCTGGGCCTTGTACACAAGTGGAATGATTGTAACATCCACAATTCGTTCTACAATCTGGTCCTGTCCATCCAAGATAACATTCGCATTTGTAATCAGGTGCTTCGCTACAGTAGCCATTAACGCATTTTTCGTAACAGGTTTTCGTGCAATTCTCTTTGCCATCGCCATTGAAACCTTTCTTACATTGACAACTATAGCTACCGTGGGTATTAGTACACACTGCATTAGGATGACAATCATGCAGGCCTAAATCACACTCGTCAACGTCTGGACATTGAGCGTAGGCCCAACCTGATTCATCAGATTCTAACGTTGTATTCTGATCATCGTTAATCACTAAACTGCAATTGACGTGTGGCTGATTGAAGTCTCCCTGTACACATGCTCCCATAATAGGATTTTCTAAACTATAACACCAACCACAGCTTAATGAATGTAAACAACTAGAACAGTTTGTGTGCCTACTACAGCTTTTGCACTGATCATTGCCTGTTAGAGACGATCCAGATCTTGATGTTACACCCATTAGACCAGCTTGATCCATCCATTCTCGACATAATCCAAATTGATATTCAGACGTGTATACCGAGAAAGAGAAGCATTCCTGCGTAGCTTCACACCATACACACCTCCCACGTTCGTCCAAACACTGTGTACAATTCGAACGTTGTCTACAGGGAATTGGACACTGATCAAGACTAACAACTGCATTAGGTAGTCTCCCTATTCGTGCGCAACGAGCTTCTTCTGTCCACCATTCACATAAATTGCTACCGACGCAAGATTCACAAGATATGTAATTAGAACAATTAGCACAAGTTGAAGGAGTGATGGTTAAATAATGCCATTCACGGATTGGAGTACCATCTTCGTCCCATTCTACGTCAGCTATACAACTTTCAGTCTCGTTAGTGGAACGTGAAAGACATTTGTTAATAATATCACACCAACCGCACGAAGAATCAGTTAAGCAATGAAGGCAGTTTTTATATTGATGACACGATCCATTTTGATATGGTTCAAGATATTCGAACGTAAAAACTTTTGGATTCTCGGTTTTCTTATTGTGAGTTATTTCCATTTTACTAGCGTACGCGTAACTCGTCGTAACCATTCTCTTAGATTCAAAATCTAATAAATATCGTCCTGGTAATAACATCATTTGATATCCGTCGGGCCATTTCGTTGGAATACACTGCGATGTCTCAGCAGTTAAATTTGCAACTAATTCCTAACAAAAGTAAGAAAACATAGGTAGCAAATAAATGATTTCTGAATTAATTCCAAATGCAAAGGTTACTTACCAATTCTTGAGGATCATCGCTTCGTGATACATGTAGAGTGGCACTGTTATAACTGACACAAATTTTTAGATGTTCCACTGTGCTATCCCAATAGAAGTGAGGTGGTCTGAGAAAGCCGATTAATCTAGCAATCATTTCTCCACCAAGGGCAGATTCTGTCTTTGCACCTTGCATGGATGGTACATTGAAATCTACTGTAGTGGCATTGACTATGGTAACCGAATCGGGTTGACTAAAATTTACAGGGGGTTTATATTTTAAAAATGTCAATCCTGGTCTTTTATCCATTTCGCGACATTCTTCGACCTTTATAATTTCCGTGCCTTTCGGACCCCACCATCCAGGTATTTGTAATGGTGTATCATCTCGTAGACCACAAACCCCATAATTATCATCTTTGTGGTGACAACGTGCGTTCTGAACGCACCAAGTACAAGTTCCGAGATTTAATTTATTCGATACAGATTTTTTGCCGCGGGCAGTCGTACCCCAACCCCCGCCAGGTTGACCGTGTATCAAACATGAATGACAATCTCCAAGTGCAGGACAAACGCCTGGACAACGAGTCGTTTGGAGATTAGTTGTACAATTACTACCAATTGTTCTACCATAACATATCTATAATAAATGAAAAATATATGACATTAAATCAGTACTAACCAAATATGGAAGATTCTGTGTATTAGGATAATACCTCATCTGCTGAACACCAACCACATTCTGGATTAGCTGAACATTCCATTAAACTTTTATGTTTTGAACAAATCTGTTCAGGTTCTATGTAATCTTCGTCTCCAGGCGCAAGCATTGGTGGTAATGTATAGGCAAGTAAATCTGCATTTACATTTCCATGATAACCACCAACTAATAACAAAGTATTTCCGTTTCGTACATCTGCCGCGTGTGCAAATACTCCTTGTTGCTTTGGATAACGAGAATCTACAGATATCAGAACAAATGTTTTAAAATAAAATAAATTAAATGTTTATTTTTTATCATTAAAATATTAATTTACCTTTGTCATTTAAACCTAATACGTCATGATTTACCCAAACGTGACAGCCTAAGTGGTAAAGATACATTTGATTATCATAACAAATTTCTTCTTTGTTATGTCTGTGAGAATATCCACCAAACACCACTAAATAATTCCCTGCAAGATTAATTGGAAAAAAAAAGAATTGTTGATACCTTAGTTCATTGGTAATTTTAATCTTGAAAGATTAATTACCTATAATATTGCAAGTATGAAATGCCCGTTCTCTCGGAACATAAGTATCTCTTAAATGCGCTCTCGGGTAATGAATTTCGGACCAAACTTTTCTGTCAAGTTGAAATACAAACATTCTATCTGATAATTTACTAAATCGTGCGACGCTAGCTACTACTCCTCCGTAAACTAGCAAAGAATTTGTGGCGCGATGGTATACAGTTGAATGTGCTACTACGCGTACGTCTAATTCTTTTCCCCCTCGAGGATGTACTTCTTTCCATCTTTCTGTACTTACTGTAGGATCGGCTAAAGTAGAAAAATAAATTTAGATTATTTTTTATCTTAAGGGGTATTTAAAACACGTTAAGTACAATATAAACTTACATAAATTCAATTTGATCTTATAAAGACTCGATGAAAATTCACCATCAACCGTGCTACCACCAAAAAGATAAATATAATCATTCGCTAAAGTAAGAGTATGTCTTGTCAACTGCGGTGGGTAGAATGGAGAATTTTTAGCCCGTAATGTCCACGAACGTGTGTTGACATTGTAATGCCATAACTCATTTGACAAAGAACCATCTTGTACTTTTCCGCCATATATAACAAAACCACCTATTGGTAAGTTGTAAGTCATATTATAATTGCATTATTTTTTTTTCTTATTTAATGGATACACAACTGACCCTCGTATCTACAGGCAGCATGACCATATCGTGAACTCGGTTTAGGTAATTCATCAACTGGTGGATTTGTAGATTCATGTTTAAATGATTCATCTTTTTCGGATTTAGGTTCCGGACTAAAAATATTCTCTCCAATGGAATCATCAGCATTTTCTTTCTCCCAATTTAATACGTCGCTTCTTATATTTGCCGCGCGAAGTTCTTGATAAAGATCTAAGTTTTCAAGATTCCGACGATGTCTAGTATAATCATAAGGAATAAAAATACCATTAATCGTGATTTAATATTAAATTGAAGTTTGATAAATCTACGATAGGCTTCCCGAGGGCAATTGTGTACTGTACATCTTATTATTACCTTGCTGTTTGTGCATACCGAGGCTTAGGATGCCTCGAATGTTTCCTTTTCAGATCATCATTTCTTTCTATCCTAATTGTACTTTTACTTGATTCACCATCTCTGCTATCTTGGGTTCTTTTTTCATGTTCTTTATGTTCTGCTGCGTTTTTAAAATCGGGCCAACCATGCTGTTCATTTTCTGCGTTTGCATGATTACGTAAACTAAAAGTATTATTGTCTTTAATACTGTAAAGTACTCTCCAAATAAGGGACGACGTACGAAGACCGTACAGTTCCTTTGCACCCGCTCCTATCCGTTCTAACTCAGTAGCAATGAGCATAGGATCTAAATATTCCGCAGATGAGGTGCCTTCTGTTTTAAGAATATATGACATGTAGAAGATGTAATATGATTTCTGTAATTATAATAAATAATTTTAGTGTTTGCTACTTACCTAGTACATTACCATATTCATCTTCCCATTGACTTGTACTAAACTGATAGACTTCCAGATCATTGAGTATATAATTGAGATCATAACCACCAAAAACATAAAGAGAATCAGTTTCTTTTATATACACTGCTGTATGTGCTGCTCTTGGCCTAAGTCCACCTTCTGAATGAGAAAGCCAATGCCACCTATTTATCAGATATAATAATTAGAAAGTAATTGAAAGAATGTACTTAATAGTATAATTAGTAACATACTTATTTCCTTCAGGATGTGTTTTATGTAATGAGCAAGACTGTCCTGAATATCCATTATGGCACTGGCATCTTTTTAAACCACATTCCCCACCATAACTACAATTATTGGGACAAAGAGCTCTAGAGCAATCTCTACCACCCCAATCATTTTCACAGAAGCAAGTATTATTTATACATTTTCCATGATTTGTACAATTATTTGGACAATTTGTAACTGAAAATTCTGCATGGAAACCATCCAAAACGTAATTTGTATCACTATACAGTAAGATTAACATCTGCAATGAAATACAATTGAAAGTTATAGCAATGGTAATATTTCTTAATAATCTTAGAAAATGAATTACTCATATACAACTTATCATCAAAGAATTTCATATCCACTTACATAACCAGATGATGATGTCACTTGTTGTGGCTCTGTTTTTCCACTGAAACTACCTAGGAGCGGAGATCGAAAAGAGTCTCCATCATAAACAAAAACATAATCATAACTACATTCTGTTCCCATTGTACGAAAACTTAATGTAATAAATTGACGGCTGTTGTTAGCTGTAAAACATTATACAACATTAAATAATCACAACATTTAATAACCACACCATTGTTATAAATACATTAAAAAATTTGTCTACCTTTTATAAGCCATTCACAATGAGAATCTTGAGTATAATTTGAACCTAAAGGTCCATCACTAATGATTCCCCAAGATTCAGTAAAAACTTTCCTTGTTTTATCACATGGAATTTGTTTTGGAGATGTTTGCGGAGCTAACTGAAAGCCCCGCAATAGGCAACTCCACATTATGATCCATATTGTGGTGGATGAGACCCACCCCATTACAGTATATTCGCCTCACTAATGTTTGATACAATAAAGTTCATCATCCACATTCATTGGATTGTTTTTTGAGCAATTATATTGTATGGGACTCATGTAAGAAATCATATCTGAAAAAATATAGTTTTTATTTCTTTCATTATCTTACAGCTGTTTGTTGTTTATAAAAACAGTGTACTACTTATAACAATTTTGCAAGACAACTGTAAGTTTAGTTTTAGCATTATGTAACTGATTTAGTACAAAAATGACATACATAAATTTTATTGAAAATCACATTATGTTTTCTATATAGCCACAACAATGATATCACAAATAAAACAATAGAATATTATTACTTAGAAACTTAATATACACAAAAATAAACAAATTATTATATATTTGTTTAACGGCATGCAATAAAATTTATGTCACAGTTATTTACAAAAATGTTTAACTATTAGTTTTATTGAGTTTACAGTACAAACACAATTTTATAATAACAGCAATTAAACATGCAACCATCACAGTCACGTTGTGTAGTGATCATGTAAGTATCGAGGCATACCATTTGCAGGATTTTATACACTGATCAAATAAAAAAATTGTAACAAATGTCAGTTCATAAAAATCGTATTATAAGACTTATAGCGACAAACAACGAGGGAACTGGACACTCGATTATACTTTTCTCATCGAAACGAAATCAAGGAACATTCTTTAACTAAATAGATACAATAAAACCTCAGCTGGAATTGAATCAAAACATTATGTACGTATACACATACACGTCAAAAAAATCTGCACCTTGCTATACTTTCAATAGTCGCATTCTCAAACGGCAATTATTTCGTAAGCATGGATCTTGGGTACACCCAGGCCCTCCAAACTCTACTCTTGTGATTTTGATGCAAATTTTAGGTCTGCGCTCGAGTACCAGGAGACGCTGATGTCTTGTATCAGTATGACATGACACGAATACAAGTTTGTCAAACAATTATAATAATAATTGCTCAGTCTTGTGCTGCTTTTGACTGATTTCTAAAAAAGAAAATAGAATCAAAGGGAGTGAAAATTGTCTTTTTAAATGTCAGTTCGAGGTGTTGGTAAAACAGGCACGATTATCATACCGGCTGTGCTCTCTGCATGCAGACCTAACCTCATCTGGAAGTGTCTGGGATCCCATTAACCATGAACCTTCAGCAACATAGGCATGTCCAGTCTTCTGTATCTGTAGTCACTGATTAGAAATACTTAGTTCAGATCCCATCTGCTAGATGACACTGTTCGAATAATTTTTGAAATTTTTTTGCCCACGTAATACAAAAGTTGAAAACTATTATAGTTGTCTTTGTTACACGTTTATAAAAATTTTGGCTAATAAGCATATAATTGAGGGAAGGGGGAGATGGTTGTCAAAGGAAATAAATAACATTCAGCATTACGTTCACACACCATACTTTGTATTTGATACATAGCTTTAAATGTTTAGAGAATATTGAATAATCTATGTACCATTTCTATTTCAGCATCATAAAATCATCATGATTAAATGTTACATTAAGCTTAACATTTTAAAGTACCTTGTCTGTTCCCAACAGTGGAGTCATATTTATATATAACAATGGGAATATAACGTAATTCCGTAATTATGTCGAGTAAAAAATTTTGACAATCACAAAGAATACGCAAAATAAACGGTGCCTGGCATATGTACATCTTTTGTCTGGTATTTACCAAAGGTAAATATACCAGATATACCTAATGATAAGTCAGACACTTAAAAGAAGTACTTGAAATTTACACGCTTTGTCAACTAAGATGAATTGTTTATTTATATTTTATGCGAAAGATCGATGAATTCTTCATTAGGATTCAAATGAAATTTGTTACGAAGAATGTAGGGAAATGTTTGCTACTAGGCACTATCTTATTTTCATACCTTACTATAATCATCAACATTGTAGATATAATTCTACCTACAATTGACATAAGGAAATGAAAGATACATAAGGAAGTTTAGATTGTAATATAATAGTAACATATAGATTACTTCAAGCTCATGCGATTAATAAATCTGGTGATAAAACGATCATTATTTATCAATATCTGTCCAAAATGTATAGAGGTCAAGTTTTGAATTTATAAAATCGTAATTGAAAGTATACTCTTGTTTAAATGAAAACTTTGGTTTTAAACCAAAGCTCTATTAAACAGACATTCACTGTACGTTTCTTTAGTCAATGTTATATAGGAGAAAAATTCATCCTTCCATTTGTTGAAGTTTGTCTTCAAGACTATCTTGACTCTCGTTGGTATCGTTCAAATTAATTGTATGACTGTCGTGATCAAGTTCTATCACAGAATCTGATAATTCATTCTTTTGAGCTTCTAATACATTGTCTGAAGGTTCAAAAATATCCGTAGATTCCGAAAGATCTTGTTCATCTAAAGTTAAATTTGAATTTTGTTCGGGTTGTTCAATGACTTGTTCTTCAGAAACTGTTTCTTCCATTTTAACGTCAGATTCTTGCGAATCCACCACTTCCAACGAAACAACATTTTCCAGTTTAATGCTCATTTCTTGATCTTCGGATTCGGTTCCGATAACTTCTTCTTTCAATGTATCGTTATCTGCATTAGAAGGACCTGCTTTCGCTTTGTCATCAAAACTTTTCTGAGAAGTTTCAGCAAGAGGCGATATTTGAGTGAGATTGTTTAGAACTGTTTCTTGCATCTTGGCTACATCGTCAGCTGAATCTAATATATCACATAGTTCTCTATTCATTTCGTCCACTTCTGATGTTTCTTCTGTCTTTACAACAATAATTTTCTTATTTCCATAAACCTTAGAGCTGGTTATCAATGGTTGCTTACCTTCTCTTCTACCAGCAGTAACAGTTGTTGGTGTTGCTGTTGTCGAAATCGTAGTTACCGGTTTTGGTGTTGCTGAAGTTGTTTCTTTCTGTACATTTTCTGTTTGTTTTACTTCACTTTCAGCTTTATTTTTCTCTGGTTCCGGTTCAGAACGAACATCTTGTTTCTTTACTGTCGTAGTTGTTGTCACAAGTGCTGTTGTTGTTGCAGGATTTGTGGAATGTACTGTCACATCGGTGTCAGTATACTCTTTTTCTTCGTCGTACATACTTTGCTTCTTCTTCACAAATACTCTCTTCAAAGGTAACTGTTGTTCATCATCAGATTCGTCGTGGCGTTCTGGTGACAACTCCTCGAGAGGTTCGTATTCTTGCTGCTTACGTGCCTCTAATTCTTCTATCTTTAAGCGTTGTTGTTCCACTCTTTTCTCCAGCTGTTCTAGTTTCTCTTTAGTTTCTTGATCACCTCGGGTTAATATAGGTTTTTGTACAGTAGTTGTTTTCGTTACCGAAGAAGGTGTACTTGTAGACTGAGATGTTTTCAACTCAAACTTGGAAGATTCATTTAGAGAGGAGTCATTACTTTTTACTGTACTAGATGATTGTTTTACGTCTGTAGGTGACTGCATTACAGCTTGAACAAGACTTTGATGTTTATCAAGAGGTTTCTTAACAACAACCCTTTTTACAACATTGCCAGTTGGTAATTTAGCTAACTCTGCTGGATCTATTATTGTACCATCTGGATTCATAATAACTTCTCTCGTAGTATCTCCTTGACGAATGATTCTACGAACGATAACCCGTTTTGTAACTTTGTGCCCACTGTGTGTCTGACTGGTACCTGCTCCATCTCCGTCTTTTATTGCACTAGTTGTTGTTTCGGTACTCCCACTTGGTTTCCTTACAACAATTCTTTTTATTACCTTAATAGTATTTATAGCTTTGGGTGTACCACTGACCGACGGGGATGCTTCCACTTTCTCTTCTTTACCTGAAACTTGATTCTGTGAATTACTTTGCCCTTGCTGAGATCTTGCTTGATTCGCAGACGTAGGTGAATCTTTATTTTGTTCTTGACCGCTTTGATGTTTCAAAGGAATCTTGTGCTCCTTGAATACAGATGCTACAATCTTTTGGACTTGTGCTTCTGTCTCGTCCACGCGAGAAGATTTTGGAGGTTCGTCGTTCTGTTTAGATTGCGAAGGTTTCGCATTCATCTGAGATTGATTGCTACTTGGACTTTGCTTCACCTTCGTATCTTGTACTTCCCTACGTTGAATAGGCATTAATGTTTTGATAGTTTTCTTAATCATATTTCCATCCTTGTGTCGTACGAATACGACTTGTTCCTTTTGATTCTCGTCTTTTTCAGATCTGTCTTGTTCCTCCTCACTTTCCATCGGTTTGCTTGGTTTTGGAAGCTTTTTGACAATGTATGCTGGTGGCTCGTAATCGTCATCTCCATCCGAATATTGTTCCTCCTCTTCGTCCTCGTCAGAATCTAACTCGAGTTTAGTTTTACTGTCTGGCTGCAATCCATCTGGTCCCATTTTTTCACCAGCTTCAATGTGTTGTTTTATATGAGTGACGTAATCCGCTCTGTTCCGACACGACTCCTGGCAAACATCGCATGTCAACCCCATACCTGTGCGTTTTGTGTGCGTTAGCTGATGTACTTCTAAGCTCTCTTTACGTTTAAATGCTTTACCACAATCCTCGCAAACATGACGCTTTTCTACAGAATGTGTCCGCATGTGTCTGGTCAAATGATGAGATAGCAGGAATGAACGAGGGCAAAGTTTGCATAAATATGGTCGATGTCCAGCATGAGTTGTTAAATGACGAGCTAACTTTGTACTTGTATGGAATGCTTCCTTACAGTATTCGCAATTAAATGTCTTGTCTTCGTTATGTAGCACCTCATGACGTTCCAGACCTTGTTTATATGTGAAACGCTTATTACAAATATTGCATTGGAAGGGTTTCTCTTTTTTGTGCACAGAATCCTCGTGTTTTTCTAATTCTTCGGTTGTAAAGAATTCACGGTCACAATGTTGACAGCCATAACGTAATTCGTCTCTATGAACTTTCTCATGACGCTGTAGCAAATTTGCTCTTGAAAACTGTTTGTTACATACTGGGCAAGAGAATGGTTTCTCCTCCGAATGTGTAGTCATATGTTTTCCAAGATCATATTTAGAGAAGAACATGCGGTCGCATTCTGTGCATTTATAATTGCGGTCACGATGAGCTCTTTGAACGTGGAGAACGAGAGCTTGACGTAAAGGAAAAGTACGATCACATTGATCACATGCATGTACCCTTATCTCACCTGGTTCTAATTTAAGCTCTTCTTTAGTGCTGTTTGTCTCTTGATCACCTTCGCTACCACCGTCGTGTTCCTCTTCATAGAAATCATGTTGATCTTCTTTTTCTCTTTGTTTTTCTGCTTGCCTATCTCTTTCCCTTCCTCTTTCCCTATCCCTATCTCGTTCTCTTTCCCTTTCTCTATCACGATCTCGGTCACGTTCCCTATCTCTGTCTCGTTCCCTTTCTCGATCTCTGTCTCGTTCCCGGTTTTCTCGTCTTTCCCTATCACCATTATCAACTCTAGGTTTTTTAGCACCTTCATTTTGGGACCTTTGTTCAGAAGGTCGCTTGTTATTCATATCAGGTGGATCATTTGGAATTGGAGGAAATGGTCTTGGTAAAACACCAGATAATGGATACGCTCTTAATGCTTCATCTGCTTTCTTACATTGAAGCTTAAACTTGTAGGAACGGTCCAGGTTCCAGCGACACATGCTGCATATCATTTGTGGCATTCCATCTGCTGCATACACCTGAAATATAACATGTTAACATATTAGTAATTTAATACATTAAAGGTAATAGGTAAAAAATTATTGTTTATGATAGAAAAAAATATTGTTAAAAAAAATACTTATTAGGAATGTAATGAAACTGTAAAATAAAAAACACTACAGTGAAAAAGATACATTTTGAAAGATAAATCAATAATGATAATAAAAAATAAATATATTTGTATATTCTTAAATATCGGTAGTAGAAAATATCGTAATCATATCTAATTGTATATTTTACCATCGCAGCGTTTAAACAAAGTTATCGATGACAAAAATTATTTTTTCAATTGCAACATGCATTTAAAATTTTGAACTTGAAATTGTTTATCATTTGTTACTAATTAATATATATTATTTATTCTATCAGCACAAGAACATTTCTTGTGATCGGATATTCAGGCGTCGAAAACATTTGACTCGATCGGTAAATATGATATCTGCATTATCCAGATCATTAGTTGTCTATTTGACTACTATTCATTTTATTAATTGAAATGTATCAGTGATAACAAATAGTTCAACAAAGGTGAATTTTGTTAATACAAAATAAGAATAATGCGTATTGAATAACAGCGACACTTAAAAGGATATCTTTCTCAAGAATATGGTATGAAAGGTAGTGAGAGAATGAATCGGTGGCGGTCGACGTCGTCTTCAAAGAAAATAATTACCTCTATGGCGACGCACGACATGATCTGCAGGGTAAGCGGTACTTGAAACGGTTTATTATGATCCCTTTCATAAATGAAGCTAAGTGGCTCGGATTCCGTCAAGCAGAATCGGCAGACCCGCCTGGAACGAAGCGGCGCCGGCCTATTCTCCATGTTTTTCTGACTACCGTCCGTTCAGACACCCACAAAGCACACTCTTCCGTCTCTCAGCTCGTCCTTCCTTCGAATCTTCTAGATCACCGTGTATTGGAACACGCTGTAAGAACAATAGTTTAATTTGATTCTAATATATCTCTTATTCAGAATTCTAAGAAACGACGCCGAGCGTCGGTAAGCGTCGCGTCACGAACAACGAGCAACCGCGAAGTACATACCACTATGGCGCTATTATGGCGGTCCGAAAACTTGTTTCCTCTGCGTGGCGTCTTCTTCGAACTTCTCTGGCTCGCATAGCTCCGGCCTTTGCACATCAGCGCCATCACCTTCCTCCTTCTTTCCCGGACAACCACCACATGCTTTATAGGTAAAACAGAGTATGGTTTTTCGGATGCACTTTTAACACCGTCGGTATATCAAACATTATTACGAAAGTAATATTTTCAGATTAAAATATGATACGACGCACAGCAATATATAACTGGAGTGTCTTATGAAATAAACTAATTTTATTTCAATTATAAAATAATACTCAAGTATTTATCTCAGGTAGGCAATTAAATTACGATACGTTATTGTTTAAGTTCGTGTTGATGTTTCGATAGAACTTGATCCTTGAATACACCATTTTGGTTATTCTATATTTTTATAGGACAAACATTTTTCTTTAAATAATCATTCGACATGAAGTGAAAATGAATCGCTTGCCGAATTGGAAAATACTACAATATTTTAAGAAGCGAAAACAACAGGATCCTACTACCCTAGAATATTTGCATCGTGATATCGAGACGGACATTCACCTACAACCAACGGAAGATTTATTACGAAGTCTGCAAACTAATACGAAGCGTGGCCTATCCACGGCTGTTGCACGCGATCTTTTAAACAAAACTGGACCGAATGTACTTACACCAGCGAAAAAGACTTCCAACGTTTTAAAATTCGTAAACCGATGCTTCGGAGGATTCTCTGCGTTAATATGGGTATATGATTATGAATAAAATTAGAGGAACTATCATAGAGAAATTACCATTTCATAACTATCATTGAAAGTATCAGTAATTAATTAAATTTATTATGGATGGTGATAAATTCCAAGAAAATGGAGGGAGGCTTCTTTCCTTACTCAAAGGAAATCTTTGTTGCCTCCAAATGTATTCATCTTACCCTTACAACAGATTCATCTAAATTATATAAAATTTATAATATATTATTAAATTAATTTAGAATCGTCAATTGTGTTTCTAGGTGGGCGCTTTTCTCAGTTTTTCCAATTACCTTTTGGAACACGGAACACACGGCGAAGCATCCAACGAACATTTAGGAATTGGTATCGTTCTTGTTAGCCTGATTTTAATCACGGCACTCTTTAGCCAATATCAGGAATCAAAAAGCTCTCGAATCATGGAATCGTTTCAGCAAATGTTACCGCAAAAAGCGATGGTCCTTAGGGACGGTTCGAAGAAGAAGTTGAACGTAGCCGAATTGGTCGCCGGGGACATTGTCCTTTTGGAAACCGGTGACCGAGTACCCGCTGACATTAGAGTCCTGGAATGTCAAGGTAAATTCGTATCGTTGTAGTTGCAAGCGTAACTTTCTTATTTCTCGAGAAAAAGAGTCTTCGCCTTTCTCTTCGTCGACAATCGAGATATCGTGGTGATTTTGTTGTAAACACTATTTTCAGAACTGTGGAAGATTCTTGGAACGAATCATTCAAGTTGAATGACAATGATAGTAGAATTATTTTAATATTTATTAGTTACAAGAAATGTTTATTATAATTTAATTTATAGCACACGACAAGACTTTAATATCGCTTCATCCTTTCATCGTCTATGCAACGACGACTTCGGTCATTGTCCTCTTGCAAAATCCAATTTCCTTTCTCTGCTCTAAATCACATCGCTGCGGATGAAACGAAGCATTTATTTTATCTTAAAATCTCGTATATTATGTTCAAGGTTTGAAGGCGGACAATGCTTCGATCACCGGAGAATCCATTCCACTTTTGAGGACAGCTAACGTTCTTCCAGTAAATAGCGTCCTCGAAGCGAAGAACATGGTATTCTTCGGCACCGATATAGTAGAAGGTGAGATGGACTTAGGAACAACTTCTGAAATTAAGTATAATATACTGTCAAAGTGTTGTTTGTTTAGGCACAGGGAAAGGAGTCGTAGTTAGCCGTGGTGACCAGACGGTGATGGGTAGAGTCGCTAAGCTAACATCGAAATTAGTATCAAGACCGACCCCTCTTACCCGTGAGATTAATAGATTTATGGTACTAATCTCGGGTTGGGCGGTCTTCCTTGGAGTTCTCTTCTTCGTCCTGTCCATCGCTCTGGGATACACTTTGATCCACTCCACAGTATTTTTAATTGGTATCATTGTAGCAAACGTACCAGAAGGACTACTCGCTACCATGACCGTTTGTCTGACCCTAACAGCCAAGAGAATGGCGCATAAAAATTGTTTGGTAAAACGTTTGAAAGCTATAGAGACACTGGGATGCACTGCTGTTATCTGCAGCGATAAAACAGGAACGCTGACTCAAAATAAAATGACTGTAACTTTGCTTTCCTATGATTCATGGAACTCTTTCTGTAAACTAATTAAGGAAGAAATTTTATATTGCACGATTATTTATTTCCAGGTGCGACACATGTGGTTCAGTGGTGAATTGAAAGAAGTAATGTCTTCCGACGGGTGGAGAAAATACATTAAGGATCCAGATTTTCATAATTTAGCCAGAGTAGCTAGTCTTTGTAATCGAGCTGAATGGGCGCCTTTCCCTAAAAGGAAACCTCTACCCCCTTTGAACAAGAGAAAAATTTTGGGGGATGCATCTGACGCTGCTTTATTAAAATGTATGGAAGTGCTGGTGAAAGGAGGTGTGGATACTTACAGGAAAGCTTATCCAAAGGTACAATAAATGCAATTATTTCCAAACGAAAGAAGTATAACAAAAATATCTTCTTTCGATATAAGGTGTTCGAGATACCGTTCAATTCGACGGACAAGTTTCAAGCTAACGTTCACGTATACAATAATAAGCACTTCGTTGCACTGAAGGGCGCACCAGAAAGAGTATTAGAACGATGCTCGACCGTAGCGTTCGGTAACGAGACAAGAGTACTGAATGATGAAATCAAGAATGCTTATACGGAGTCTTGTTACGTTCTTGCGAATAATGGCGAACGTGTACTTGGCTTTGCCGATCTCGATCTGCCGACTTCTGATTTCCCTCTCGGCTACGTCTTCAAGGATGATCCTCCAAACTTTCCTCTTGAGAATCTCAGACTAGTAATGTTATTTGTTTACAGTAGAGTCGTAGACATTCACTAAATTCTTAAATATATTTATAACGAGGCCTGTTAAACCGGAATCCTTCTGTTCTGAATCATAGAAGAAATATGCAAACATTTGGCGAGTTGATTTCGCTTGATAGTTTATCTAATATTCGTATTAATTTTTCTAAATTTAAATTTAGAGTTAAATGAATTTCAAGTTAAAATTACACTATTAATAATATTATCTGTTATCAGATTGGATTGATGGCGATGATGGATCCGCCGAGGCCAACAGTATCGGATGCAGTGTACAAATGTCGTTGTGCCGGAATCAAGGTGATCATGGTAACTGGTGATCACCCTGACACAGCAAAGGCGATCGCAAAATTAGTAGGCATCTTCACCGACGAAGATCTTTTCCACCCCGAAGAAGACAAAAAGCATTGCATCGTGGTGACAGGAATGGAATTGCGTGACCTGAAGCCAGAAGAACTGGATGCAATTATAAGAGGGTATCCTGAGATTATTTTTGCTAGAACTTCACCAGTACAGAAGCTTCAGATCGTGGAAAGTTGTCAACGACTTCATTTGATCACTGCGGTCACCGGTGATGGAGTCAATGATTCACCGGCATTGAAGAAGGCTGATATTGGTATTGCCATGGGGATTGCTGGTACTTTTCTTTTATGAACGAATACATTAAGCTTCCATTTTATGGTTGTACATTAAAATTTTAATATAAGCAGCTATAAACTCTTGTATTAATTAAATAGTGTTCATTTAACAGAATCTTAAGAAGTTTAACGAGTATTTGTTGGATATTAGGCTCGGATGTGAGCAGAGAAGTTGCTGATCTTATTCTATTAAATGATGACTTTGCATCGATAATTACTGGAATAGAAGAGGGACGAAGAGTGTTCGACAACCTGAAGTCGAGCATCGCGTACACTTTGGCCAGTAATGTTCCAGAAATAGTACCTTTCCTGACGTTCATTGTTTTCGGGATTCCTTTACCTGTGGGCGTGATCTGCGTGTTATGCATTGATCTTGGTACTGACATATGGCCAGCTGTGTCACTGGCTTATGAGAAATCAGAATCAGATATTATGCTGAGGTAACTGTTAGTTATTTGTTTAATTTTCAAAATAATTCTAACATTAAATTTCTGTTTCAGGAAACCAAGAATACCTCACATAGATCATCTGGTCAGTCATCGGTTACTCTTCATGACTTACGGACAGATCGGCATTATCGAAACCTGTGCTGGCTTTTTCACATACTTTGTAGTTATGGCGGAGCATGGTTTTCTACCCGGTACATTGTTTCGCCTGCGGTCACTATGGGACAACACTGTTGTGAACGATTTGAAAGACAGTTTCGGCCAAGAATGGACGTACGAACAACGCAAGGTTCTTGAATACACCTGTCACACTGCTTTCTTTGTGAGCATAGTGATCGTCCAAGTAGCCGACGTGATGATCTGCAAAACTCGACGAAACTCTCTTTTCCAACAAGGCATGAACAACTGGGTCCTAAATGTGGGAATACTTTTTGAAATTGCTGTGGCATGCATCGTGTGCTATGCTCCTTATATGGACAAAATTCTGAGTACTTATGCGTTGAAGTTCGAATGGTGGCTCCCTGGTATTCCATACGCTGTGATCATTTTGATCTACGAAGAGCTTAGGAAGCTTTGGATCAGAAAAAATCCTGAAGGATGGTGGGATCGAGAAACTTGTTACTAAGTTTTAAAAAAAGAAATATAAACAGAAGTCAGCTTATAGTACTTGAGAGCAATTTGAAAATGTAACACTAGAAGATGCTTTCATTTTGATAAAAATTTATTGAAACAAAATGGCCATGCAACATTAACAGAAAGAAGTATCAAAGAAATAGAAAGGCTATTAATATCTTCGCTCTGCCTGTCGATAAAATTATGATTCTCAATATTTTCTGATAAAAGAAGAGCTGTGTTGTTCGATGTACAGTTAATTCGATGCATCTTCAACGGAGCACTCGTGTGACGTGAGTATGCAGAAGAGCAATGGTTCTCCTTTAGTTCTACGCGGTCATCGAGTGTTGTAACCTCATGGATGGAAAAGTGGGGGATACATATAAGACCGTGGGACCCACTCGATGAGGCCCAGTAGTCTCTAGTCATCAATTCCTTCACGTTCGAAGAACCGTGACTTGATTTCGAGATAACGAAAATACCATATTTTCTTCTAGTTACTCCTGCCCTCCGTCAGGATGAAGACGGAGGTATTCTGTTTGCTAATCTGTCTCGGTGAGTAATTGGATATAATTGAAATATCTTAATGACTGTTAAGTACCCAAAAACAGTAACATTGATCTTACTAATTTTTATCCTTTTCTAATCATAATTTACATTTGATAATTGATGAAAACAAATTTCTGAGGTTTTGAATAGAAAAGAATTTAAAGGAGAGATAATAAGTGATAAAATGATATCTAGTTTGACTAGTGACCTTTAGCCAAGGTATTGTTTTACCCGTTACAATAATGATACAGATTCAATTACATATTTCAGTTATTAATATAGTCTGCTTATTGTTCCACTATTCTAGCTTCGTTTCATTCTTTTTTACAAGGTTTAAGCTATACGATTCAAATTTGATTGATACGTTCTACGCGGATACGCGATATCCGTTTGATCACGAAAGAACTTACGCCATCGTTTGTTATTGAGAAATCAGTTCTCCTTAAACTAATAGAAAGTTTAATTTCACCACGTGTCGATTCACCGCACGAACAACAAATTAAATGAAAAACAAATTTAATAACTTTAATTAGACACACTTTCCAGTATGTAACGTAGGTTTCTTCAAGTATTGTTCTGTATTCTCTCAAGATATCAGAAATAATTGAATCAGTTCTCAAGCTACAGTTGTCGATTTCATTTCTCAGCCATTTGCTTAGTTTAGCTGTATCTAGGATCTTCAAAACGCAGCAAGGTCTATATAGAGTGTTGGAAAGCGAACAGGTCTGAACGATTAAACGACATTTAAGTTCTGCCCGACCAGATACACTTCGCTCGGCCACTTTCTCGCTTTCTTCCGTTCGCGAGGTCGACCGGCGTTTACGCACAACCGGCGTTTTGTTCAGGGACGTTGGACGTCGGGCTGCCTTGAAAACGCTACGACCAGTTGACCCTCTCTCGCCGTTCACCGTTTTTATTTCGCATTCTTTGCATTTCCTTTTATTCCTCTTTCGATTCATTTGTTATTCCCGGATACATCCGCATTGTACCACCAAGTAAAAGAGTATCCACAAATGGAATTCATTGAAATCGAGGTCAAACGCGCGCATATTCTCATTGTCTGCAAAGAAACGACTGATATCTTCAGTATTACCCTGGTAATTGGAATATTTTTTAGGCGTTGTCACCGCTTTAACGAGGAAACAAGAGGCAGCCGAGCAGAATCGTCGGAAGGTAGCTCTGCCAAGTTTGCAAAAAAAGCCACAGACCGCGGAAGAGGAGCAAGAAGAGTACGAGGACGAAGACGAACTTTCGGATCAATGTCCCGAGCCCAATGGTTACTTTCCTGACGGGGAACAGTGCGACAAATACTACGACTGTCGAGATGGCAGACCCACGGATAAACTATGCCCGGATGGTTTGGTGTTCAATGATTTCAGTCCGCAGCACGAAAAATGCGACCTACCCTTTGGGATTGATTGTTCAAAGAGGCCAAAGCTACGTGCGTATTGCGCTCGATTCGATTTCAAGTATCTTTGTTAATCTCTGTCATTTATAATGAAATTTAATTGCAGAAAAACCGCAGCCATCTCCTCATTGCCCAAGAATGCACGGTTACTTCGCTCACGAAGATACCCGGATATGCAACACATTCTATTATTGCGTCGAGGGCAAGTTTAATATGATCACTTGTCCGGATGGTCTGGTCTTCTCAGAGAAGACCGGAATTTGTAACTGGCCCGACGAGGCGCAGAAGAAAGGTTGCGGATCTAGAGAGCTTTTCAATTTCACCTGTCCAAAAGTCGACGATTCCGTCGCTGCCACGCATCCCAGATATCCTGACACCGAGGACTGTCAGTATTTCTATGTTTGCGTGAATGGTGAGATACCTAGGAGAAGTGGCTGCAAGTTGGGCCAAGCTTTCGACGAACGCACCGGAAAGTGCGATTGGGCCAGGAAGATACCCGAATGGTAAATTGTAGTAGCAGTAATATTCATTGATATTAGGTAATTGGATAAAAACTATCGTTATAAAAAATTTTCGGAAATTTTAGCAAAGATTGGTACAAAGGTCAATTGACTGACGAGGAGTTGGATGCCTTGGAAAATCCACCGCCGAAACCAAAACCTACTGGTGGTCCTAGCAGAAGAAAAGGCACCAAACCGACCTAGATTTAAGACTAAACTCATATGTAGATTTTAATATTCATTGACATATTAAATACCCCGCCTGGTGAATAAAACATTTCTAATACGGTTGTTCTTTTTTATAACAGGATAATTAAAATAGGATTATTGAATGATTGATCATGTACATAATGAGGATGACTGTACAATGAAAGATTTTACGTGCATCAATATTTTTTGAATGGAAGAATAAATTAAATGACAAATTTTATTACAAGATTGTGAAATTGCATAAAATTGCTTATTCTATTATTCCGGTACCGGAAATGCAAGTACTCTTCTTTTCTGTGGCTTCTCTAAGGAATTCAAATGGCCTGTAAATTTCCACTAGCAGTGAAAGTGATTTACTCCTGAAGGTTCTTTACATTTCATAGGAAATGTTTCCGAAATCTACTCGATCAAACAGTAGGTCAACATGTGGCGCTTTGGTGATAAATTTAATTAACTACCGTTTTCGTAATTGCTCATTAGAGGCAGTATTATGTAACACATTGAATGTTTAATGCAGAAATAACTTATCATTAATGAGAGTGTAGAAAGAGAATCTAAACGTATTGTTATTAACTTTAATATATTATAAAATACTATTTACAACAGATATCATATTGTTCATACTATTTTATGAATCTGTTTTCAGTTAAACTGAAGCTGAAAATCCTGAGGTAAGGAATGAGAAAAGACAAAGGAAAGGTAAATTATTCAATAATAAATTAACAAACAGTATTGATCTAATGATACAACACATTTTAATTAACGATTTAAAAAAAAATAACACAGGATCCTATGCACTTTAAAGACGGAGTATGCTACGTTGGAAGATACAATCTTACAATATCTGAATTTCGAAAGATTTGAAGAATGCGTCGATCATCAACAAAGATCATCGTAATTTTAATTTTTCCGCAAAGGCTAGTGAAGGACATCGAAGTGAGAGTAAGTTGTGTAGATAGAAAGAAGAGGAAAAAGATGAGCAATGAGAGAAGAGAAAGAAAGGTAAGAGCGCGTGTTACCTCCGATCAATCTTGATTCTAGACAGTTATCCATCGATGAAAACGTGGCGAAAGTGGGGAAGAAACACTGGATGTAGTGGGGCCAATGGGGTATACCCCCGTGGTGAGTTGCTGAAGAGCAGCAGTGTTTCGCGACGGAGGCACCATTTCGAAAGGGGACCAAAAAATATAGATTAAAATCTCTCAGTGACGGTAGTGATTCGAGTATTCTTCACTGGATTTCGTGATTCGCAACGATTGAACAGAGAGCTGAGAACCGAGGGTAGAAATGATGAGAGCATCCCTTGTAACGATATTGGCCGTGGTGGCTGTAACACGTATGTATCATAGCCATTTTTCTTACTGTAATAGAAACTTCAACAAGGTAAAAGTGATTTTATTCTTCAAATTTTGTAAAATATAATTCTATGCAATTATTTGAAGATATTCAACATAAATTAAAATTAAAAATATCTATCAAAGTTTCATATTTAAGAATAGTCCATTTTTCATTGTTTGTAAAAAACGACATAATTCATAGAGTTTTTCTGAATTTTAAAGTAGACAAAGTTTCTATCATTTACATTCCATGTTTCCAACTAGAAGCAAGAACAGCGCATGCTAATTATGGAGAAGAAAAAGATTGGTTTCACTGAGACAGAGATTTCAGACTTTCTCTTGATTTCTTAGCACCGGTCCGTGCAACACCTTCTAAAATGCAGCATAACTTCCGGTATTGTAATCGTCGCGTAGAACCGGTAAAATTTCATAACTGTTTAAATATCTGAAACCCGTTGTCCATCCCACGGTGAAAAATCATTCGTGTATACAGTGGAAACGTATTCATTTCGCTTGGAGAGTGCGTAAGAGACAGCCTGGACTGAACTTTCTAAAGCGTAAATGTCAGATCTACTATTCGTGCCGAGTTGCATAAGTATCCGCCGTGTTTATCGTCTCTGTATAGTATGTAAAACCGATAAATTACATAAAGAAATAAAACAATACCGATCGAGATTCGAAGAACAGAAATAGAATAGTTGCTCTGGTTCGACCAGGTACCATATTCGCTATAACATTAGTTGCCAAGCTGTTTTATATGCCTCTTGAAACGTGGCATTGATTTCCGGTATATCTTACAAAGCAAATGTCACGAGTAACACGGAGAAATTTCAGAAATTTCTTCCAACTCCTTTCTCTTTTTTGTACGATTGATTTTCGACAAGTGAAACTCAGGCAACAACTTTTCGATACACTTTTCATTGTTTCTCTTTTTGATTTCAAACTGAAACTTAATTTTAAAGAGTATGATAATTATATCATTTGAGGTAATTAGAATCATGAAAATTATTGAGACCTTCATCATCTTCCAGCACAGTGAATTTCATCTGAAATAAATTACTTTAGCATTTATAAATTTTTTTACAGTATTCTGCATAAAATTTACATTTTTTACTACAAAAATATCATTTATTATTTTGTCGACATTTACACCATTTACCATTTTAATTCCTCAATTAATAATTCTTTGATTATTTGGTAAATGTCAGGATTGAGAAGAATGGGAGAAAATTGAATGATTCGGTACAAATCACTAACTTTCATTTATGTGAAACTTGTTCAATGTTACAGATGGTGCCTTCAATTGTCCAATTAAAGATGGTCAGTACGAGGATTCAAAGCAATGCGACAAATACTATGAATGTTCAGACGGCATAGCGACGGAGAAACTTTGCCCAGATGGGCTTGTTTTTGATCCTCTGAACCGTAAAGTGAACAAATGCGACCATGTCTTCAACGTCGACTGTGGGGACCGTCTTGAACTACGTAAGATCATCGCTCCTATCACTATTTCACAATACTGACACGTTGATGTTGGTTAGCCATTGCCGAGTATCCGAGTAAATTTAAAATAATTCAATAACTCAAAGAAATTAAAGAAAATTTGTAGTATCATTAACATTAAATTAATTTTGTAAAGTAGCAAGTAGCAGAATATTATTATTGAATAATTGTATCAAACGTTGGGGATATACTCTTAGAAAGTCGAGACCTCCGAGTGCAACACGTTACCGGTGTCATTGGCTCTTGCGGTTAATGTCCTTGACATACAGGATACAATGACGATAAGTAGCGAAAGTAATTCTAATTCCTGTTATATTTTTTGCAGAACCGCCTCAGCCAACCAAGAAGTGTCCACGACGGAACGGTTTCTTTGCCCACCCAGATCCATCCGTCTGTAACATTTTTTACAATTGCATCGATGGCGAGGCTATTGAAATCACTTGCACTACTGGATTGCATTTCGATGAATATAGTGGCACTTGTGTGTGGCCTGATAGCGCTGGCCGACAAGTATATATTTACATATGTTTTACATATACACACATGATTGTTATTTATTTATTCATAGCATCGCAATTTTGACGACTGCTATTACTATTGATTAATCTATGCTTCTTGAATAATTGATCGGATATCGTAGTTGCAGATATTAATTTGCAAGCTGAATAATTAATAGGTAGAATCTACGAATGAATCTACGAATCATCATAATTTTGTAACAGATTAGCTATGATGTTAAATTATAATTAATTATAATAATAGATGTTACATCATTGAAATTTCTAATTCAGAAGCTGTTATAGAATGGATTATACATAATATGTGTTTATGTAGGGATGCGGAATAGTGGGCAAGAAATTGAAAGATGGCTTCGAATGTCCGAAAGAAAGTCAAGTCGACACTAGAGGAATGGTTGTCGATCATCCTAAATTTGCTCATCCAGATGACTGTCAAAAATTCTATGTTTGTCTGAATGGTGTAACACCACGTGAACAAGGTTGTAGCGATGGTACTGTTTATAACGAGGAACAACAAAGATGTGACGCGCCTGAAAACGTTCCCGGATGGTATTTCATTTATTAATTTATTTAAATTAATGTACTAATCAAATAATGTACTATAGACTATGTTTGGTATTATTATTATTTTGTTTCCAGCGAGGATTGGTACAAGGACGATGACAAGAAACCATGAACCACCTTCTAAATTTATATGTCCCGCATCGGGATTTTAATATCATCCTGAAATCACATCATTCTTGTTTCGTGTGTAACCATGTGTGTGTTTAGAATGTTCATAAATAATAAATTCTATTTTACCTTATTCCATCGTGATTCCCCTCTTCACATCCAGAGTTTTGAATAAACCTTAAATGAAATATGAATACATCATGTAAATAGATTTTATTTGTTCATTTGGATATGAATATAAAAACATGAAATATTATTCAGTTTTCTTTCGTAATCGACGAAGCGAATCGATGGTAACTTTCTCCTGGATATTTTATTATTTCTTCTTTTTAAATTCAGTCAACAGACAACTTTCGTGTTTATGTATTTCTTAGAAACATGCGATAATAACTTGTTTTCTACTTGTAACAAATTTGATTTATATTTTTATGTACATATCTACACATTTTATAATTAAAGAAAATTGACAAAATGCAAATAAAATTCTGTTCATTTAATTATAATTGTAAATATAATTAAACACTCTGCATGTTTCTACGTCTTAATTACAGTTATTCTTGATTTAATCGAAACATAAATAAAAGATTTTGAATTAGTTAATTTTCCCGCGCTTCGGTAGGTGGCGCGTCTGCATGTCACGTGACCCTTCAATTCCCGCGCTTTTATATCTGAGCGTGCGCGTCGGTTAGATGAAGAAGGGGAGTGGAAGCGGCTGCTTGAAATTTTATCTTCTGCGTATTTATGTATTTAATATTCGTGTGCAAGGACTTCAGACAATTCTGTAAGTATGATCAGGTGATAATTTACGATACCTTTTATCTTAACAATGTTTTGAGAGACACAAACTCTCATTATTATATTTGTAATGTCTAAAAGAAAAGATTGGGAGATTGGCGTCTTCTTGGCGTCAGTTGCCATGTTGAAACATGCTTTTCGCAAACTTTCGTTTCAATTTTTCAAGATCATTTTCTACGTGGAATGTGCACCAGCTCTTCCAAATGGTCATACTTCAGCTTTTTACATCCCGTTGCTGCAAAATGGTTACAACAGGAAACAGTTTGGTGTATGTACCCGCTCAACATTTGGTGAGTCATATTATCCGCCATTTGCATGCTTACTTTACCTACAGTAGAAAGCAGTATGCAAAAGTATTTATTCGAAATAATTAATTATGTGTAATCGATTATATCGGTAACGACGATTACGTTTATTGGTTATGTAAACTCTAAAGTCAGCATTTCCAGAATATTCATTGCTAGCTTTAACGAAACTCTTCTAGTGTGAAAATAATATTCAATATTAGAAAGAATTTCGATAGGAAACTAGATTACAGAATGTATTACTTGCTTATGAACAGTAGATAAAAAGTTCAGTACGATGTACTTTTTTACCATATAAAGTTACCGGGAGTCGTATGATAATACAGTTCAGCTTTCGTATAACTTGCCAACTGTTGGAGATATTTGTAATAATCGCGAGTAGAATACACAGATGAGTATGACCAATCTAAACTTCTCGACTACTCTCTCGATTAAACTATGTTTGCGTAACTACGGTACATTCATTTATGGCCGATTCAATCCGACCTGATATTTCTTGCTCACGGCCAGCATCGGTTCAATTCGTCCTGATTGTAAGAGTACTTTAAAGTACCGTGCAGAAACAAAGGGAAGTAGAAACTCTCTACACTTCCGTTAGGTTCAAGTCTAATTGCAATCAAGCTGCTCCCTAGAAATCGGTAAATACGTTACCGGTAGATTCCAACTAAATTGATTACAGAAATTGTTACTACCACAAGTGGTAATAACATGAAACACCTATTTCAGTTTTCGATTAACAGAGTCTTAGAATAATTAGAAAAGAATTTAATTAGTTTGTTCTCAAACATCGAATATACTCTTGGCTTCGTTAACCATGACAGTAGTAACTGACTGATTAACACCTGGATAGTCAAATTATTAGGTTAGAGTGTGTCCTGATAATCGGGATCGAACTGCACGATAAAGGACCTGGGGTGTGGGTGTGTGCAGATAAGCATACGTTAACTTGTACAGGGACACTCACACCATTTCTAGGGATAACATTCAAGAGACTAGAGAGAAGTTAGTCGAATAGTTGGGGTGTAATATTAGGAACACTTTGAAGGCTAAAGTTACACCAATAAGAGAACTGGTGGAGCTCGGAAAGGTCAATAGAATATGCAAATTGGCTTTCGAATGGTCGACCAAAGGGTTCCTTTGCTTTCAATGTTCCAGTAGATATTCTGTGTATTTCTTTCGGCCTTCGAACCAACATCAAATAGATGTACAATAAATTAGAATACTAGACAACCGCAAATACATTTAACACCACTTTCATCGATTCCAATAACCGCTAATTAATTTAAGATCAAGCGTAACAATTATGTAATTATATAGAATTTTTCAAATATAAATTAATACTTAAAAGAAAAAATACTATCATTTAACAATTTAACGGTAAAAGAAGATCACTATCGAGTACGGTAATTATAGTAGAACAGTTCGATTCACCTCTTCAAAAGTGTTCCTCGACTTTGATTGAAAATACACCAAAACTTTTTCCGAGTATTCTTTTCGAAAGTTTCTTCTCTCCCGGTATCAGGGATTCTAGCACGTTAGTTGGGAGCTTTCGCCGGAGCTTGCGGAAAATCTCCGGTCCATTTTTTAGCGTTAGAAGGAAACGGTAGCCGTCTCGATCGGTAATCGATATCCAGGAGAACAACGAGACGATTGGTTTAGCAGTAGCAAGCGTGCTTACAGGTGTGCGATTGCTAGAACCAGGTGAGCGATTGGCTCGATCTTTCAGGTTCTTCCTGCACCCTTTCTTCCTTTCGTCAATTCTCTTTTTCTTTCTCCCAAGACCAAGTACGAGACTGATTTCTAATTTAAGACAGAGCTACAAGTTTTCCTTTCTCTACTGAAATTTTTATACAGTTATTTAGATGGTCTCATTGTATTTTAAAAATAGAGTAGATTCCGTGAAATCTGTTTGTTTCTTTTCTCATTTTATTAGAAATCAATGTTTCCTTCAATATCTTCATTTTATGTTACTTCAAATGTTCGAGTGCTGTTCGACGAAAATTTCTAGAAGTTCGTTGACGCGATGAAACGTAATTTTGAGATAATACGAAAGTAATTAGTTACGCTTATCTTAGTTCCTCTGTGACCGTTGAGCCGCTGTTAAGGTAATTCTGCTAGAACGAACTACGCTCCGAAAATGATAATAGACCGGACACAGCATAGCAGCAAACCAGGGGCTAAGCAACATCGCGTGTTAATATCGCAGTCATGGCACTTGTAACTGTATAATTTTCAACTAATCGCTACGTTAGTTAGTATAACTACAATTACTGTCGTAATATATAAATTTTCCTCCTTGGTGAAATTACAAAATTGCATAAATCAACGTACGCGAAGTAAAGTAAATTAGGAATATTTTATAGAGAAGATGCGTTCGAATCAAGATGCATAAGCCGGTTATAACCATTACTTTCGTTGCACTCGTGTCAGCAAATTTTCGTGGGAGCAGATTTTCATGAAAAGTGAATGTTCAATCGTAAGTTTATGGTATGAGAGTTGCAGTAAATTGATCGAAGGTATGCGGATTTTTACGACGTTAGACGCTTAGGAAGCCGGGTGTTACTCGAATGGATCCGAAGAGGGATAGTTTATCCAAACAGCTAGAAAGCAGTTTTGCCTATTTACAGATTCCAAATGCTTCAAATATTCAGGCTCGATTGCTTCCTTGAGCTCTCTCTATTTCACTCTCGAACAAGCAGTAACGCGTTTCCATCAATATACGATACGATACAAATGTTTCCACGTACCATACCGCGTTTTTATCCTTCCACGAGGCGATTTTTTAACTCGTTCGAGTCTTTGTTCCGTTAAACGATTTCATTGATTTTCGTTTTCTATTAAGAGCGACTTTTTCATTTTGTTCATTTCACTTAATTAAATATCTGAATATTAATACATATACCTTTCTTACTAAATGAAAGTTTCTTCTTTCATAAACTAAGCATCGAAAGGACCGTTCTGTGGAATTAATTTCCGGCTGATTCGTTTTTGTTGTACATTTTTAGCCCCGGTTTATGCTTGCTTATTCGTTTGCCGGTCGCTCGTTCGAACTTGCAGTTTTCGTAGGCGTTAACTCTCGTCGCGCTCTGCAATTTAGCGTTTCAGCGACGTATAATCGCGTTAAAAGTCGAGGACCAACTCGAGACGGGACGGTAATCGGCTGTTCTATCCGATAACGAGTTCTGTCCAACTTTGCGACTGCGTGCCGGCGAAGAAATAGAGAACGAAGGAGCGACAGAAAACTGCCATAGAAAAATAGAAATCAAGAGAATTCTTAACGAAAGGCATAATGAGTAATCTTGTTTTCTTAGCCAACTCCTTGCTGTTTTTCTCTTCTAGCTTATTTTACTCCTGTTTTAGAATATTTGATTAATTGCACGAAATTAAGCAGTTTTTCTAATTACTTAGATAATTAATTAATTTTACAATTACATTCATGGTGAAAAATTAAAGTCCATAATTTGGACGATGGTAATAATGTTCTACTTTTGTCTTTTATTTGTATTCATTTATGTTTCTTTTGCTGAATGAAATCCAAAAAACTTGTTCTCCCTCGTTTCCTATCGGGTTAGTCAAACACTGTCGAATTCACTGGTCGACCGAGAATAAAATTATGATTCTCTCGACGCGAAGCTTTCGAAGGGATTACCATCCGTATGTATAAGTAATTTAAAAAGTTCTCCATCGGGGCACAAAGGTAGTTTCTAAAAGAACCAGTGCATCTTTCACAGTTATGATACACCTTCTCTCTTTCGTATCTTTTTCAATTTCCAGTCTCTGGGATTATTGTAACAGAGCATATTCAACTTTGAAAACTTCCATATTTGTACAAGTTGATGTGATCTTTTGAGAAGGATTGTCTAGTTAATTTCTATTGAAATCATTAATAGAAGGTTCACTTAGCTATCTTCTTTCGCTATTTCTGAAATTCATCATTTATTCTTTGAACATATTGGAAGAATAATTTTTCAGAGGAACAGTATAAAATTTAGAAAATGATATAAAACACTGAATTAAATCAAAATTCATTATTTTTAATCAAAAAGATAAATATTACATAGATAGAATGTGTAACACATCGATGGAAGTTC